CTCAGTGCATTATATATGTGTATATTTACAAACATATGTATGTGGATGTAACAATAAGAGGACAAGAAATAGGGAGTTGGGACATGGGAGGAAGAGGATGGGGGAGTGGGAGGGGTGGAAATGCTGCAAATACACCAGCATGAAATTCTCAGAAAAAAATCACTAGGAAGGACTCATGTTAATTATGATTATAAAAGTGACCGGTCAAATCTTGGTTATGAAATTTATGTGGAAAATAATCAATCTGAAGGTAAAAGGCATTAAAATGAAAATAAAAATGGACACAACAGAAATGAATTTGAATTTTTTTCTAAAATTATTTTTTTTAATGGCAAGTGTCTAGATCAAAATGACAGTTTTGAGGAATATTTCTGTCTGGGGGAATATGTTATATATAACATTAAAACACATCCACCCTTTCAGGACTTTATAGTTTAATGGTGAAGGCAGACATAAAGTTTTTAGATAATTTATGCTGAGATAATAGGGCAATTTGATCTAATTTGGCAGTCAGGTTAAGTTTGTACACAAGAGTAAATAGAATTTAGTCTATGATAAGTATTAAAGAGGAAGACAAGACTATTAGTTACTTGTTTCTGTGACAAAGTATCTGACAAAACCAATTTAAGGAGGGAAGAGTTTATTTTGGCTCACAGCAGCCCATCATGGTGCAGTCCATCATGACAGGGATGGTATAGACAGTGGCTCACATTGCACGTGCGGTCAGGAAGCAGAGTGAGATGAATGCTGCTGCTCATTTTCTCCTTTTGTTCAGTCTGGGATCCCAACCTATGGGATGATGTCACCCATATTCAGGGTGAGTCTTCCCTGCTCAGTTAAACCTTTCTGGAAACATACCCAGAGGTATGTTTACATGGTGATTCTAAATCTAGTAAAGTAAACACTGAAGATGAATTATCACAAGTAAAAGGTTCTGTGACAGGAATTTGGCAGGCTTCCTTCAGTGGAATCATGAGGATTTCAAGCAAAAAGAACAATCATTTACTTTTTTTTTTTTTGGTCTTTTTGAGACAGGGTCTCCCTGTAGCCCAGCTGTCCTGGAACTCACTATGTAGACCACGCTGGCCTTGAACTCACAGAGATCTGCCTGGCCTGCCTCTGCCTCCCAAGTGCTGGGATCAAAGGCATGGGACACCACACCTGGCTTATCACTATTTTTAAAAGTAAATGATTGCAGCCGGGTGTGAGTTCAAGGCCACCCTGGTCTACATAGTGAGTTCTAGGCCAGCTGGGCCTACAGGAAGACCCTGTCTCAAAACAAAAACAAAAACAAAAAGAAAAAACAAACCACTAAAATATGCCAATATTTAGAAACCTTTGAATTTCAAGCTAGTCTGCCATTGTTTTTTTATTTATTTTATTTTGTCTTTTGAAGTTGAGAGGTATAATTCATGTTATGCAAATGTGTCTCTTGTAAATCATCATTTTGGTGATTTATCTACCCATGTAATCATAAACCATAATATGCTCTCTTGTCCTTTTCTAGTCAGTTCCATCAACTCCAGAGGTTTCTCTAAGGTTGTCTTGGAAATGTAGAAAAGCACAGACTTGTAAGAAGATAATTTTGTTTCCTGATCATATACTACTAAATTCTCAGAATCAGTGGCTCAACCTCTTTCTAGAAGACACAGATATTTCACTTCATTCTCACTTGTACTTTGCTGTTGAACATTTGCTTTTGTTTGAAAACATGACTTTTTTTTTCTTCAGTCTTTTGTTTTTAAGACAGGGTCTCCCTGTATCCCCAGCTGGCCTGGAACTCACTATGTAGACCAGGCTGGCCTTGAACTCACAGAGATCCACCTGCCTCTGCCTCCCAAATGCTGGGATTAAAGGTATGCGCTACCACCCCTGGCATGACCATGTTTTATTATTCAACAATTCCACTTCTGGATTCAAAGAAAGTGACACCAGGCGTGTAGCCTGCACCACTTTGGAGCTTGAGGTAGGAGGATTGCCTGCCCTGGCATGACCATGTTTTATTATTCAACAATTCCACTTCTGGATCCAAAGAAAGTGACACCAGGCGTGTAGCCTGTGCCACTTTGGAGCTTGAGGTAGGAGGATTGCCTGCTGGGGTTACAGACCCAGTTCAAGGCCAGCCTGGACAGCTTAGTGAGACCCTGTCTCAAATTTTATTTTATTTTTTTGGTGTTTTTGAGACAAGGTCTCTCTGTAGCCCCAGCTGTCCTGGAACTCACTATGTAGACCAGGCTGGCCTTGAACTCACAGAGATCCACCTGCCTCTGCCTCCCAAGTGCTGGGATTAAAGATGTGCGCCACCATGCCTGGCTCAATATATTTTTTTTAAATTTATTTTTTATTTACTTTTATAACTCATTTTTTTGATTGATTGATTGATTGATTGTGTGTGTGTGTGTGTGTGTGTGTGTTTCACACAGAACATCCCAAACAATCTTATTCATCTTTATGCCCGCATCCCAAATGGCACCCTCCCATAGCGCCCCCCCCCCCCACTGGAGCCCATCTACTCTGTCATCCCTGTTACTGGCCACTATGTTGTTGGCACCCCCAGCCATTCCCCAGTGCAAGTCCATCCTGCTGAATCTAGTCAGCCTATATACAGAGCCTTGTTTTATGAAGATCAGCTGTTCCTCATTTGGCAGCAATCAGTTGCCAACATTCCTTTAGATGAGATTGGGGTCTCCTGTTCATTTTCCAGTTCTGTGCTGGGTTACTGTCTGGGGGTCTTTTGGGCTACCCTGGCCAGTAACTCAAAGGAAGGTATCTGGCCTTGTTTCTTGTTATGTAGCCTTTAGCTACACACATGGACTCAATATTTTTTTTTTTTTTAAAAAAAGGAGGGTGTGGGATGTCACTCAGCGATAAAGTGCTACTTTGTTTAAGTATCTAGATTCAGTCCCTAGCACCATATAAAACAACAAAAAGAAAATGAAATCAGTATGTTGAAGAGTTATATGTATTTTCTTTTTCTTTTAAGTTTATTTTTTATTTTTATTTTATGTGTATGCATGTATTGCCCGCATGTAGGTAAGTTCACCCGTGTCATGCAATGCCTGCATTGGTCAGAAGAGGTTGTCAGATCCCCTGGGACTGGAGTTACAGACAGTTGTTAGCTGCCATGTGGGTGCTGGGATTTGAACCTGGGTCTTCTGCAAGAACAACCAGTGTTCTTAACTGCTGAGCCATCTCTCCGGCCTGAGCTATCTGTATTTTCATGTTTGAATGTAATATTATAGTCACAGTAATCAAGATACAGCACTGGGCATATGACATATGCTTGTAAACCTGGTACTTGGAAGGTAGAGGCAGAGTTCCAGGCTAGCCTCAGCTACATAGTGTGTTTTAGGCCAGGCTGGACTACATGAAACCTTGTCTAACACCTCCTCCTACACACACACACACCCTCCATTTCACACACCCCCACACTGGAAAGATGAAATAAATATACATGTCCATCAACAGATGAATGCATGAAGAAAGTATGTCAATAGAAGTCTGTTCGACCTTCAAAAAGGAAATCCTGTGGCAGCATGGGTGAACCTGGAGGACGTTATCCTAAATGAAATAGGCTGAGTACAGAAGGACAGTTAGTGTATGATTTCACTTATTTGTGGCAGGTACAAATGTTGAGGCAGAAGCAGAGAATGGTGGCTGTCAGGAGATGGGGTGAGGTTTGGAGATGGGGAAATGTTGAGCAAAGCACAGCATTTAGGTTGTACACAGAATATGTACAAAATTTGTCAATAAATGGAGAGCTGGGCATGGTGGTTCATGCTTTTAATCCCAGCACTCAGGTTGTAGAGGCAGGCGGATTGCTGAGTTCGAGGATAGTCTGGTCTACATAGCAAGTTCCAGGCCAGCTGGGGCTACAGGGAGACTCTGTCTCAAAAATACAAAGAAAGGAAGGAAAAAACCAGGGTGAAATGTTTAAGAAGAGCTTGTTACACTGTAGTAGAAGGGAAAGGAAGAGAGAATGGAGAGAGGGAAGGCAAGGAGAGAGGGAAGGAAGGAGGAAGGAAGGAGGGAAGAAGGGAGGGGAGGGAGGGAGGAAGGAAGGAGGAAGGAAGGAAGGAAGAAGGAAGGAAGGGGGAGGGGGGGAGGGAGGAAGGAAGGAAGGAAGGAAGAAGGAAGGAGGAAGGAAGGAAGGAGGAAGGGAGGAAGGAAGGAGGAAGGAAGGAGGAAGGACAAAGGAAGAAGGAAGGAAGAAGGAAGGAGGAAGGAAGGGAGGAAGGAAGGAAGGAGAAAGGGAGGAAGGAAGGAGGAACAAGGAAGGAAGGAGAAAGGAAGAAAAGTTTTTTTTTTAAATTTCAGGAAACTCATCTTGTCCTCAATTTGTCATATTAATTAAATCAGTCATTAAAGCATAATTTCAGATATTTTTTCATGCTCCAGACATGGAACTAATAGCTTTCATTTCTAAGGTCCCAAATTGTTTACAATGAGTATGTTACTCTATTTCAGTTGAATTTATGTGATTTATAGACAAAAAATTGTGTTCATTATATTCATGGTGATGTTTGCACCTGAGTTTTGGATTGTTCAGTTTCTAAAATGCTAAAATGAATATGTCAGATACTCTTAACATTTTTGTTTTTGCATTTATTTGTGTATGTGTGTGTGTTTGTAGTATGTGTGAGTGGATATCAGAGGACAACTTGCAGAACCAACTTGTTGGTTCTCTCCTTCCATCATATGGGTTTTGGGAACCAAATTAAGATTGCCAAGCTTGATGGCAGGTGCCTTTACCTACTGAGCCATCTCATTAGTCCTCAGATACTCTGAATATTAATAATAATAGTAAGTACTACTCATATAGCCCAGGTTTGCCTTGAATTCAATATGTAGTCAAGGATGACCTGCCTGTACCCCCAGTGTTCTGGGATTACAGGAATATACCATCATGCCTGACTGCGCTTATTTATTTTTGTTTTGTTGACTTTGATAATTAGAAATTAAAGTCATCTTTAGTGTGATTTATTTACTTTTTATTTCAGTTCATTCAGCCTCTAAAGAAATAACAGATTCCAAGGCACAAGAGGAGGAACCCGCTAGCCTAGTTAAATACTTCAGTGTTGTTTGGTGTAAAGCTTCAAAGAAAAAACACAAAAAATGGGAAGGTGATGCTATTCTTATTGTAAAAGGAAGATCATTTACATTAAAAGATCTGGAAGGCAAAGACATTGGAAGAGGTATTGTGCTATTATCTGTTTATTATTCAGTCTAAAATGAGTATATATATATATTTTTTATTTTTAAAATGTTTATTTTTCGCTCTTTTTGAGACAGGGTCTCCCTGTAGCCCCAGCTGTGTCCTGGAACTCACTATGTAGACCAGGCTGGCCTTGAACTCACAGAGATCTGCCTGCCTCTGCCTCCCAAGTGCTGGGATTAAAGTCATGCGCCACCACTCCCGGCTATGAGTATATATTTTTGATTGTACAATTGAAGCGTAATTGGGCCTTATAATGGGATAGAATAGGGTGTTCTTTAGTTGAATTTTATGCCTTGACAGTATATGGTATGTAACAATCATATGACCTGTGCTAGCTCATTTAGGCAAATTCTGTCCTACAGTTTTATTTTCTTCAGAAGTAATTAATGAGCTACAAATAATAAATCAATGAGTTATTTTAGCACTTTTTTGAGATGAAGCAGTTTGTCTTGGTGTCTTTTCCCCCCCTAGAATATTAAGTGACTGGAATCTTAAAGGTGTTACAATTAGAAATTAATTGATACTATTTAGTGCTACTCAATAAATTTTTGAAAAATAGAATAAAGTGATATATGTTTGGCCTGATTGGTTCACACATCTAAGTTACCACGTTTCTGTTTCAAAATGTTCCCAGTGTAACATATAATGCAGAGTAGCCTACAAACAAGGAATGCGTCACACTAGTATTTTCTGTATTGTTTTCTATTATGTAGTTTTGAGACGTTTTGAGTAGGGCCAAAGTATAAAATCTATTCTGCATGTTCATTCATTCACTTAAAGATACAGTTTATAGCCAGGCGTGGTGACGCACGCCTTTAATCCCAGCACTTGGGAGGCAGAGGCAGGTGGATCTCTGTGAGTTCCAGGCCAGCCTGGTCTACATAGTGAGTTCCAGGACAGCTGGGGCAACAGGAAGACCCTGTCTCAAAAAACCCCCCCCCCCCCGGCAAAAAGATGCAGTTTATAGTTTGTGTGGGTTTTTTTCCCCCCCATTTGTTATATTGCAACCACTATGCTAGGGACAAAGCAACATAACTGGTAATTAGGAAACAGTAAAATAATTGTTTCTGTAAGAATTCTTACTCATTTCAATGGCAGCATTAAGGGACCACTTAAAACAGCTTAGGAGACTAGGGGTGTGCTTCATAGGAGACGCCATTTAATATTGAAGGTGTGCTTTATAGGAGATGCCATTTAATATTGAAGGTATGCTTCATAGGGGACACCACTTAATACTGAAGGTGTGCTTCACAGGGGGACACCATTTAATATTTGAAGATGAGAAGATTTGGATATATTGAGCAAGAAGGAAGAGTGTATGAAAAGTCAAAGGCATGAGAGAATTGAGACTAGTGCAGTGTTTCAGGAATGTAACCTGCAAAGGGCAGTGATAGGATGGTAATAGTTGAAGCTGAAGTAAGTGACCTGCAATAGAATATTTTATTTCCTAAGGAAATATGGTATGACAATATTATGCCCAGTGATTAGAGAAACTAAAGAGAACAATGTACTGAACATGTTCTATATTGTTGATTAAGGTCAGTTGAGGCTATATTTTTAGAAAATTTGTTCATGGGGTGTTATGTCTTCTTATATTTAAATTCTAGCTAGAGAGATGAAAATCATCTGAAGGACTAGAATATCCCTCTGATAAGGTAGAGCATACGTGGTTTTGTGTACATGCAGTTTATAATACAATAATCTTTCAGCTGCAAGTACGGGAAAAAAAAAAACAGTTGCAAATTAGGCTTAAATCAGTGGGGTTTTTACCCTGGCTGTTCAAGTAGAACCACTTGATATGCTTTAAAAAAAAAAATGCTGGTGTGTAAGGCTTGATTTCTGAGGTTCTGATTTATTTTACCAGGATGGAAAAGGACTGAACAAATAGGAATATTGCAGATTACTTGGTGATTTTAAAATCCAGCCAGGCATTGAGCCATGGATTTAAACAATAATGGAGATTATATTGGTTTTCAAAATGAAAACATCTAAACATAGGACTTGGATTCCTAATTATAGCATTAATAAATATATCAACCTGGAGTTAATTCTATGTTATTTCCTATATATAATCAAGCAAATTTCCTGCATTGTGCATTTACAGAATTTAAATATGTTATAGGGTAAGAGACTAAGAAAACCAAAAACTGGAGTGTTAAAATTACTAGTAATTAGCCGGGTATGGTGGCCCACGCCTGTAGTCCCAGCATTCGGGAGGCAGAGGCAGACGGATCTCTGTGAGTTCAAGGCCAGCCTGGTCTACATAGTGAGTTCCAGGACAGCTGGGGCTACAGGGAGACCCTGCTTCAAAAAGACCGAAAAAAAAAAAATTACTGGTAATTGTGGTAAGACAGGCAGGCTCAATGACCATCATGTAGATAAAGATCAAGTATGAAAAATAAAGTGCAAGCAGTTGTTAAGAAAGTTTTAGGGAGATTTGTATTTGTTTGAGAGAGGCTTCAAAATGAATCAAAATCAAATGAAACGTATGGGAATTAAAATTATGAAGATATTTCAAAATTAAAAGATTTTTCTTGGGGCTGGAGAGATGGTCCAGTGGTTAAGAATACCTGCTCTGCAATCATGAGAACCAAGAGTTTTGACTCCAACATCCATTTAAGAAGCCAGACATCCCCAAAAATGCCAGTAACCCCATTCCAGGGGCAGTGGAGACAGGAGAATCACTGAGACTTGCTGGCTTCTAGCCTAGCCAAGAAGGCATGAGCCTCCACTTCTACAAGAGACACTGCCTCAAAAGAATTGAGCCAAAAGTCAATCACTTGAATACCCAGAGGCCTGCGTTTTAGCTGATTCCAGATCCAGTCACGTTAACTACCAAGATTAGCTGTCCTAGTAAGCATAGTAGTCTAAATGTAATCGGACTAATGAGCTCATTTTTAAGCAGAGCATAACTGAGTTATTTATATTTATATTCCATAGCACTTTATACATTGCAAAACTTAATTGTCCATTGAATTAATAGTGATTCCAAGAAACAGAAAATACTGTTTTTTCTCTCTCTCATTAAGGAGGTGGAACTGGGCATACAATGACTTCTTTCCAGAACAGTATTTTGACTTTGCCATCTCCTTCAGGACAGTATAGCACCAGCCATGGCAGGGGTTGATAGTCTTTCAAATTTCTAATTTCTAGCAGTTTCTATGAGGAAATAGAAACAATGGTGTTTTTCTGTTTTCTTCACAGAAAAAAAGCCCTTGCTTCCTGTCTAAAACTATTTTATTGACTTGATTTTTCAATGCAAAGTTGACAAAACTCTTAATAGAATTCAATAAAGGTGTATTTTTTAAATTAAAAAAAAATTGGAGCTGGGGAGATGGCTCAGCGGTTAAGAACACTGACTGTTCTTGGAGAAGACCTGGGTTTGAATCCCAGCACCCACACGGCAGCTAACAGCTGTCAGTAACTCCACTCCCAGGGGATCCAACAGCCTCTTCGACATCTACAGGCATTGCACAATATGGGTGTGCTTACAAACAGGCAAAACATTCATACACATAAAATAAAAATTAAGAAAAAAAAGAGCTCAGCTGGGCATGGTGGTGCACACCTTTAATCCCAGCACTTGGAGGCAGAGACAGGCAGATCTCTGTGAGTTCAACGACAGCCTGGTCTACAAAGTGAGTTTGAGGTCAGCTAGGGCTACAGGGAGAGCCTGTCTCAAAAAGGTGAAAAAAAGAAAATATCAGCAAACATGAAGATATTTCTATGGAAATTATCAAGTCTAAGGAATAGAACCAAAAAGATTGAAGAAAAGCAAGTACAGCCCAAGAGACCCGTGAATACCTTCAAACCACTAACACATGCATTCCGGGAGGGGAAAAGACAGAGAAAGGATGCTCTAAGATAAAAGGAAATGTCTGCTCAAGTCATATATATAAATATATATAAAAATAATTTTTATTTTATGTGTATAAGTGCATTGCCTGCATGTATGTAAGTGTACCCCTGTTGTGCAATGCCTTTGGAGGTTGGAAGAGAGCATCAGATCCCCTAGAACTGGAGTTACAAGATGGTTGTTAGCTGCCATGTGAATGGTGGGAACCAAACCTGGGTTCTCTGCAAGAGCAACCAATGCTCTTAACTACTGAGCCATCTCTCTTGAGTCTCTTAGGTGGCTATTTTTTTTTTTTTTTTGTCTTTTTGAGACAGGGTCTCCCTGTAGCCCTAGCTGACCTGGAACTCACAGAGATCTGCCTGCCTCTGCCTTCTGAGTACTGGGACTAAAAAAAGGGGTGTGCCACCATGCCTGGCTAGATGTTTATCTTTTAAAAACATTTATTTAGTGCTTGTGTTTGTGTGTGTGCATGTGCATGTGTGTTTTGTGTGTGTGTGTGTGTGTGTGTGTGTGTGAAGGTCAAGGACAACTTCTGGGAGTCATGTACTCAGGACTAGTTGGCCCAAGAGCTGCCAAGAGATTTTCCTGTCTTTTCTTCCCATATCACGATAGGAATGCTGAGGTTGTAGATGTTGCATCTACCTTTTCACAGGTTCCCATGATTGAACTGGTCATCTGGCTTAGGCAGCTAGCCTTTTTACCTGCTGAACCATCTTCCTTGTTCTTAGATATTTTTCTTAATCAAAATGATAAATTATGTTTCCATTCTGCTTAATGAAGTATGTATCTTAGATTGTCACTTAGTTAAATTGTTTTTGTTTTCTTTTTCAAAGGCATTGGATATAAATTCAGAGAGCTTGAAAATTTAGAAGAGAGCCAAACATTGATGATTGGTGGAAAAGAAATAGAAATCTTGGGCACAGTCTCTTCAGATGACTTCAACAGTGGCAGGTGTTTTCAATGTGGAAGAGGAAGTCCTGCCATCCCAAGTTCTCAGACTGCCAGGAAATGCTTTTCTAACCCTTTCAAAAGCATTTGTCAATCAAGCTTAAAGGAAAAAAGACAAAATGATTTTCAAAACTGCAAACCACGACATGACCCACATACACCAAGTAAGATTTTAAAGTAATTTTATTAATCTGTTTTTCTTGTCTATAGATTTTTGGTATATAAATTTGAAGTTTAATTTTTGTTTTAAATTTTGCAGATGATCAAGGCCAGCCTGGGCAACATAGTGAGTTCAAAGCCAGTCTAGACTATGTAGTGAGACTTGTCTCAAAACCAAGATAAAACAAAACAAAAATTTAGGTCAGGGTTGATGAAATGACTTAGTGGATAAAGAAAGGCACTTACCATCAAGCCTAATGACCTAAGTTCAGTCCCTGGACCCACATTGTGGAAGGAAAGAACCAATTCTTACAAGTTGTCCTCTGACCTCTACATCCTACCATTGCATGAGTGCCCCCATATATATATATATAATATTTTAGAAATTGCTGGTGAAAGTTACGTTCTTCAGATATATCATCTGACATACAAGATAATATTTAAGTCAAATAACAGCTTGAGTGTTATTTAATATATAAATTCAAAATCCCGTTGATAAATGTTGATCTTGAGGTTTGGTGGGCATTTGCAGAGATTTCCAGATTCTTGTTTCCTAGAACAAAGGATTGAGCAGGGATACATAGTTACAGCATCAACAGAGACAGTTTATTAAGAAATAGTACACTACAAGCAGGCAGGAGCAGAGGAAAAGTTTAGCAGCTCTATGGCAACGCTGTACAAAGGATGGGGGCTTTTATATTCCAGTATCCAAGCTCTTTGCATAGCGTAGGCCTTCTCACAGATGCACTTTGTTACATGTAGTTTATAATGAGCCACAGGTCACCTTCACACATTACTGAGTACTTCTGCCAGTGGGATTCTGGCCCTTCTTTTTGCCAACAGGCTTTTCTCACCTGCTAATTTTGCAGTCTTGTAAGGCCTTCCAGACTCACTATTCTGTCTCAAGCCTCCCACCCCCATTAGAATAAAGTTTGATGAGTCATCTCTAGCTGTCATCTACTTCTTTCAGTTGAGGAGTGTAGTCCCTGCCTACAAGAGACCACAAAACTCTCCCTATTGTATCCATTGGCTAGAGAAAAGGATCTAGATTCCCTGTAGTGGGAACTGGCCAGAGTCCCTGCATCACAAGGTTATCCTGGAACTGCTGCATCCTAAATAAAAACAGCATTTCTCTTTGGGCATTAGGCAGGTTCCTAATTGGTCCTCTGTGTTCTAGGAACATTGATTCTTATAGTACAGCTGCCATCATGATTTTAACCTTTGAGTTTAGGAGAGCTCTCAGACTGTAGGAGAAAATGTACTGATGGTTCTATATTACTAATGTGGCAAAATGCAAAAGAACAATTTGGGATCCAGTGGGGGAGTAGATCAAGTGGGTACTTGCCTGTGGTAACAGAACCAAGCTCTCATTCTGTGACTGTCTTTATTCTTCCTTTTTTATATCTTCTTCTTTTTTGATTGAATTAAATTCTAAACATATTGTAAACATGCAAATATAGTTTAAAATTATTTTGATGGATTTATTTTCTCCAGATTTCTCAGTTGAGACTCATAGTTATATTTGATTTTGTCTTGGGGGTGTTTTAATGAACCTTTTAAACTTGTGTTAGCATATTTCTAAAAGATTATCATTTGATGGTTACTTCATTCTGCTTTGCAGAGGATCATGAATTTGACGTTCATGAATGTAATAATTAACTATGCAAATACTGATGACTAAATCACTGAAAATTTGTCATTCTAAGTTCTGATTAATGTCGATAGAAGTGATGGTCATTTTCAGTGTATACAGGCCTGAAAATAAAGGCAGCCTTTCTTTTAAGTTTGGGGAGTCTGATTTTCAGAGAGAATCTGTGAATGTTGGCAAGGGCATCTTGGCACAATTCCAGCCTATACTTTCAAGTGGGAATAGCTCTCTTTGCTCTGAACTGTGGAATGTTGTGGTTTACTAAAGTTCTTATTAGATAAAAGTGAATTTCAGTGGTTTTGGAGTACTTTGCAGCATGTGAAGTTTGGGTCTTCTTCATAATTTCTTGCATTAAATCTTGTAGTAATAGTAAGACATGAGACTTAAAATTTTGTAACTTTTCTCTTTCTCTCCTCTGCCCTCCCTTTCCCTCCCCCATCTCTCCCCTTCCTTCTTTTTCTCCTCTTTTGTATCACTATGTATCAGACTGGCCTGGGATTTCCTATCCTCTTGCCTCTGCCTCCAGAGTGCCGGAGTTACAGGGGTGGGTCACTATACATAGCATATATACACAAACAGACATATGTACACACATATGTGCATATGTATACATATAAATATAAACACATATATACATTTTTTTTGACCACAAATGACGGCAAACAGTTCTGTCTTAGGAGTAATGAAACCAAGATAATGTAGTTGCTGAAGATGTGACATCACATCGATGTTTTACCGTTTTTTAAGATTCCCTTGTTATGCCACGACCAGACAAGATTCACCAGTGGATGTTCAATAAGAGCTGCTTTCCTCTCGTGGACGTGGTGATAGATCCTTATCTTGTACATCATCTTCGACCACATCAGAAAGAAGGAATCATATTCCTTTATGAATGTGTAATGGGAACAAGGTAGGAAAATAAATAAATCTAGTCTAATTTGAGTTTTCATTTAACTTCTTAAATAATAATTAGGCTTGCTGAAAGAGTTTGACAGAATGAGTCTCAAGGGTGCACCATGAATTTAGTTGGTAGGAAAGGAGACTTTGACTCAGTGTGCATTTTTTCAGTGGTTCCTGATGGACGCCATGGGCTAGATGTCCTGCTGAGATGTAGGCATTCAGGAGTGAGGACCATGGTCCTTACTCTTTTAAAAAAATATTTTATTCATTATTTTTATTTTATGTGTATGAGTGTATTCCCTGCATGTAAGTGAGTGCACCCATGTTGTGCAATGCCGTGGAGGTCAGAAGAGGGTGTTGGATTTCCCTGGAACTGGAGTAAAGGACGGTTTATAGCTGCCATGTGGGTGCTGGGAATTGAACCCGGGTCCTCTGCAAGAGCAGTCAGTGCTCTTATCCACTGAGCCATCTCTCCAGCCCCAGTCCTTACTCTTAAGTAGCTTTTTCCTTCCTTTATTATCCAATTTATGTAGTCTTTTATGTATATTATTACACTTGATCATCACAAAAACCTTGTGCCATAGGTAGGGAAAATACTAGATTCATTTTATGGACAATGATAAGGCTTAGAGAGATTTGCTCTCCCATTATATGTCTATGAAGAAGCAGTGTTAGACACTTTTAAGTTAAGGGCTCTTTTCTCTAACCTCTAATATAAATACATACACATATATAATTTAAGTTTACATATTGTGATGGCTAATCCTGGGTGTCAACTTGACTGGATCTGGGATTAACTGAAATGAGAGAGCTCTTCTTGATTGGGTCATCTGAAGCTGGAAGATACACCCTAAATGTGGGTGTTACCTTCTGATGGCAGCCCGTATAAAAGGCCATGGCAGAGGAGAATGCCAGGCTTCTTGCTGCTTGCCTCTCTCTCTCGCTGGTGAGTTCGTCTTGCTGCTGTAGACTGAAGACTAGCTGATCTTTTGGAATTCATCAGACCTTCAGCGCCAGATTGGGACTACTGAGACATCCAAGCCTCGTGGACTGAGCGACTACAGATTCTCAGCCTCTCCAGGGTGGTGCAGCCATTGTTGGACTGCTCGGACTCTATCCTGTGAGCTAAGCTGATAAACCTCTATACATATATATCCATTCCACTGGTTCTGTTTCTTTGGAGAACCCTGAATAATACACATATGTATATAGAGCCTCACATAGTTTTAAACATTTAATTCTTTCAAATTGATTCAACTATACGTAGGCTACCATGCCAAGCTTATATTTCCCTGCTAATAAAGGTCTATGGTCACAGAGCATATATACATTTTTTTTTGAAAGCACCATTTATTTGGCTCTGGTGTCCAGAGGAGATTAAGCAATATGAAGGACCCAAATGCGAAAATTAAAAGTGCGTTAATAGATTTAATTTCCCTCAGATTTCACTTCTGTGAGAGGATTCCATGTAGAGCTTCACTGAGGATGGCATATGAAGCTTTTGAAGACCATCTGATTTCATCTATTTACTCAACCCTTTATGCATATGTATTTCTTGTGTATGTGTATGTGTATATGCACGCACTTCTATGTCTGTGTATTTGGAGACCAGAGGTCAACCTTGGATGTCATTTCTCAGGAGCTGTCCATTTTGGTTATTTTTTTTCTTTTTCCCTCCCTCCGTCCCTCCGTCCCCTCCCTCCCTCCCTCCCTCCCTCCCTCTCTCTCTCTCTCTCTCTCTTTCTTTCTTTCTTTTTTTTTTTTTTTTTTGTCTTTTTGAGACCGGATTCGCTATGGAGACCAGGCTGGCCTTGAACTCAGAGATCCACCAGCCTCTGCCTCCCGAGTGCTGGGATTAAAGGCATGCGCCACCACGCCTGGCATCTTTCTTTTTTTGGCCTGGAGCTTGCTATGCATACCAGGCTGCCCTTCATTTCACAGAAACCTGCCTGTCTCTGCCTCCTGATTCTGGAGTTAAAGTCATGGGCCCTGTTTGTTTTTGAGACAGGGTCTTACTGTGTAGCCTTTGGCTGGCCTAGAACTTGCTATATAGAGCAGGCTGGCCTGGAACTCACAGAGATCCACCTGCTTTTGCCTTTTGTATGCTGGGATTAAAGGCATGAATCACCACTTCCAGCAACATGTAAGGGAAGTGAACCCTGGACCGTCAGATTAAAAGTCTGATGTTCTACTGAGTTCTCCAGGTCCACCTTGTTTTCTGAAACAAGGTGTCTCACTGGCCTGAAATCTGCCAATTAGGCAAGGCAGGTCTGTCTATCTCTACCACTCTTACACTGGGATTACAACTGTGTGCCACCATGCCTGATCTTTTATGTGGATTCTGGGGATTGAACTCAAGTCATTGTGTGTGCTATAGGCACTTTATGAATTGAGACATCTCCCTGACCCTACTTGTTAGTGCTTATTTCTACTAATAAGAATTATTATTAAATAACAAACTATACTTATATTTTTGGGAATGTCCTTAATTCCCTTGGGCTTTGTAACTCTTAAGTTTATGTCATATTGCTATCTAAAGGCTTAAAATATAGTGATTGTATGAGCAGAGTAATATTCCTAATGACTTTAAATTTCAAGTTGTATTAATATTAGTAGGATAACAGACTTTTACTAAGCTATTTTGGTTGATGACTTCATTATCTGCCAGAGAGTTTTAAACATTTAAATTTTTTTCTCATTTTTAGTTGAAATTTTGCAAATTTCATAAAATATATTTGATCATATTAAGACCCCCTCCCCTATCTATACCCCTCCTTACAGCCCCCCCATTGGATTTTATGTACTGTTCGTATATATTAAGGCCTATCAAGTCAAGTTTGCGTCCCCAAATGTTCTTCAGTATGCACCTATCCAGTGGAGCCTGGTTAATCTATCTAGCCTCACACCTTAAAGAAAACCAACTTTCCCTCACCCAGGAGATATGGGTTGCTAATAGTTTCTTGGGTAAGGTTCAGGTTTCTTCCCCACTTCCCCATTTCCATGCTGAGATTTTTTTCTGGCTTGAGCTTGCATGAGTCTTGTGCAGAAAGTAATTAATTCTTATACTAGAACAAATGTATTTATTTTAAACAATTTCAGCTCTGTAGATCTTGGTGACTACAAATTTTAATATATTTTGAATTGTTTTGATATGGAATACTGAAACTGACTACAAAGTATTCAAATATTAGTGATGGAAAACATAAAACATAATTATAGTTAAATTATCCAAATGTGGATATGAAATTAGTTTACATTTCTGGTATTCAAATACATATATATAAAACAGTAAAAGATGATTTATACTGAGGTCTCTGATTTTCTGATTTCTGTTTTGGTAGTTAGTTAACAATATATAAAGGAAGTAATTGTCAAAGATTCAAAAGTAGTAGGTTGTAGATCAGCCAAATGAAGCCTAGACTAGTCTTCTGTTTCACTATTACAGAATGCCATTTCCTGTTCTTAATGATTTTAGGAGCATGAAATATTTTCTTATTGTGATTCAACAAAGTATAAATATTTTAACAGAGTGAATGGCAGATGTGGAGCTATTCTTGCTGATGAAATGGGCTTGGGAAAAACCTTGCAGTGTATTTCGCTCATCTGGACCCTACAGTGTCAGGGACCCTATGGAGGCAAGCCAGTAATAAAAAAGACGTTAATTGTCACACCTGGAAGCTTGGTGAATAATTGGAGGAAAGAATTTCAAAAGTGGCTGGGAAGTGAAAGGATCAAGATATTTACTGTTGATCAGGTAAGAGATTTTTAAAGGTTTAAACTTTATTCATTCTTAAAATATCTAGCTTTGGGGCTGGAGAGATGGCTCAGTGGTTAAGAACACTGACTGTTCTTGCAGAAGCACCCACATGGCAGCTAACAACTGTCTGTAACTCCAGTTCCAGGGGATCTGACGGCCTCTTCTGTCCTTTGCAGGCATTACACGACAGGGGCGCACTCACCTACATGTAGGCAATACACGCATACACATAAAATAAAAATAATAAATAAAATATTTAAAAAAATAGTTTTTAAAGTTAGTATAATTCAGTTCTTAACTTTTTGAGTGCAATTCCACAAGCCCTTTTCACAAAAGTGAAAGCGTACATTTTGAGTTTCAGTTGTTATGGGATGAATATCTTTGGTTCTATCCCAAGTTTAAAGTTGAAACTCTGATTCAATATGCAAATGCTCATTGAATTGCAGTGTGGTAATGTAATATCATGAGTTGAAAATGCAGCTGAGCACATGTCTTAATCCCAGCATTTAGGAAGTGAGACAGGAGGATCCAGAACTTTAGACCAGCCTGGGGTATATAGTGAGACCCTGCCTCACACATGAAAATGAAGGCATGAATTCGTGTAATGTATTTAACATTATAGATTGGCCTAGTTTACCTTAAATACGCTCAGAATACCTATATTAGTTTTTGGATGTGGGAAGACGTGGGAAGAGGACACTGAGACAGATCACTGGGGACTAAGGAGTTGATTAGAAGAGTTATTAACCCCATGGACAGAGAGACAGAAGGGAAACAGCATGACAGTGCCTCTGAGGCTAATTCAGACCCCAGCACCAAAAATAGACAGCATGGCAGAATCTCTGAAGAGAATCAGAGCCCAAGTGAGAGTCTCTTAACACCTTTTGAGGGTGGAGGAGGCTCACACTTGAGGATGGAGGAGGTTCACACAAGACACTGCATCCATGCTCTCTGATTCTCAGGCAGGAGGCAGAAAAAAGAATGGGGAAAAGATGTGGCACCACTTAGTAGACTTACTTCCCAGGTGAGATGTTGTCAAGCCAGTCTGCTAGCTAGCTTGGGGCTCATAGGCAAGACCCAGTAGGGTGTCTGTCAGTATCTGTGAGAGGAGGCCTGAGTAGAGATTGGATTCTTTTTTTTTTTTTTTTTTTTTGGTCTTTTTGAGCCAGGGTCTCCCTGTAGCCTCAGCTGCCCTGGAACTCACTATGTAGACCAGGCTGGCCTCGAATTCACAAAGATCCGCCTGTCTCTGCCTCCCAAATGCTGTGATTAAAGGCGTGCGCCACCACGCCTGGCTGAGATTGGATTCTAGCATTACAGTCTTACAGTCATTTAAGACAATCTATTTTATTTATTTATTTATTTGTTTGTTTTTATTTTATGTGTATGTGTGTATTGCCTGCATGTAAGTAAGTGCACCCGTGTCATGCAATGCCCGCGGAGGTCAGAAAAGGCTGTCGGATCCCCTGGGACTGGAGTTATGGACAGTTGTTAGCTGCCATTGTGGGTGCTGGGATTTGAACCTGGGTCTTCTGCAAGAACAACCAGTGTTCTTAACAGCTGGGCCATCCCTCCAGCCCCAGAAAATCTATTTTATAATAAAATGTTGAGTATCTCATATATTTTACTGAATCCTGAGAAAATAGAATGGTTTTATGGGCTTCAAAATAATATGTCATTCAGAAAGTTGTAATGGTTTTAGGAGGTGGGGCCTTTGGGGGGTGATTAGGATTAGATGAGGTCATAAGAGTGGAGCCCTGTAATGGGATTAGTACCTTGTACTAAAGGAAGAGTCATCAGAGCTTCATCTCTCTACCATGTGAGCAGGACCTCCCAATGAAGTGAGGGAGAAGTGTCAAAACCCTAGCTCTAGGGAGCCTGCCAGTTAGGCTCAGCCACCTGTCCATCAAAGAGATGAACTGTGGTGAAGGTAGGAAAGGAACTTTTTTTTACAGCATCATCACACTGGGGAGAGCAGAGGTCTAGTGATCTCAAAATCTGTCTTCAAAGTGACTACTTCAGTCTCATTGTTACAAAGGAAAGACAAGCACAGGCAGGGGGTGGAGGTTTCCATGGTTACAGTCCACCTCCTCCTGGTCAGGCTGTGGTCTGATTGTTCATTACCTCAGACTATTATCTCAGAATCAGCTATGTTGGTGCCAAAGACTGTTGCTTAGGGGGTAGTTTTGGTCCTTTGCCTTAAGATGCTCATCAATCAGACCTGTCATTCCAGGGATCTAAGGTATTGTAGGGAAGAACACTTCAGAACTTGAAGAAAGAAAAGAAAAGAAACAAGGCGGAGTCAGACACAGAATGGACTAGCTTGGTCAGTGGCTGAGACCACCTTCATTGACTGGCTGATCTAGGTTTCCCAGTCTGAAGAGCTATGAGCAATGCCTATCTATTGTTCAGGCCACCCAATGTATGGTGTTTTGTTAACACAGCTCAACAGAACCAAGACAGGAAGAGTTAGTATGTTCTGATATTTGGTTGGCGACTGGTAAAAAAATGTTGCTCAAATTTGATTTCACAGTTTTGTTTATAGTTTGCTAAATATTATTTTCTCCCCCCAGGACCACAAAGTTGAAGAATTCATCAAATCTACATTTTATTCTGTTCTTATCATCAGTTATGAAATGTTACTTCGTTCCCTAGATCAAATTAGGACTATAAAGTTTGATCTTCTAATCTGTGATGAGGGGCATCGTTTGAAGAACAGTGCCATTAAAACGACCACAGCCCTCGTTAGCCTCTCTTGTGAGAAAAGAATAATTCTGACAGGTCAGTATCACTTTGAGGAAGAGATGATGGAATTTTTGCCTAACAAATCTTTATAATTTATAATCCGATGCTTGACATACAAAGAACTGGTGGTGTTGGTGAAATTCATATTAAGTAACCTGTGTTTATTGATTCTGAATCTTCAAATTCCTATGTAATTTCCCACAACCTTGTTTCTGGGCTTTTTGAGGCGTAAATCCAATGGCATCATAGTAGAGTATGTAGATGACTTGATTGGCTGGGCATAATTCTGAGTCTAATGGTGTGACTTGGAGCAAGTTTATTATACTTCTCAGTACCTCGATTTCCTTGTTTGTGAAACAGGGATGTAATGCCATCTACTTCGTAGAGTTGTGGCTGTCAAAGAAGTTAATTCATGTAAAGTTCTTTAGATTACTTTCCATGTGGTAAGCATTAAATATAACCATTGGCTGTTTTTATGACTGCTACATAGCTTGGCTTAGCACTGGCCAAAATTTCTGGCCCAGGCTATCTGGAAAGGTGGGACAGACCATGATAGACTCTCTTTCTATCCACTCCTTTTTTAGCTCAAGACCTAACCTAGAGCCATTTGAGTCTGAGTTTCCCAATGTAGCTTTTCTCTCAGACTTCACCTTGGTCTTTTGTCATTCTTCAGAGTTGTCATTCTAGGTGGAGAAGGGAAGAAATACTATTCATTACTAGTAGTAGTTTCCAACCTTTTCATTTTCCACTCAAAGTTCCATTCCGTATCATCTTGAACCCTTCTGGGGTGAATGGCAGGACATGACTGTCTATGGTCTCTTATGTAATCCTGACTTCTATGTGTCCCTTATGTATGTCAGAGCTTTGCTGTGAAATTAAAATGAGAAGAGAGAAGGAATGTGAATAACCACTTTCCTTTTTCTAAGTCTTTTTAAGAGTAGACATTTATCCCCAAGCAACAGAGATCTAACTTCCCTATTCTGTTTTTTAGCAAGTTGGGTGAGGTGGGAATGCACCTTTAAATAATTCAGTTATTTGATATCTGATTTGTATAGTAGGATTATATTTGACATTACTAGAAGTGAGATTTAAAATTATGCTTTAAAAAAGAAATTTGAATGTGCTGTGGTAGTGCACACCTGTAAACCAAGCACTCCAAAGATAGTCAGGAGGATTGCTGTTGAGTTCAAGGCTAGCCTTGTCTGCATATTGAGTTCCAAGCCAGCTAGAGTTATGTATGTGTTGAAATCAAACAAAATAAAATAATTTTGAGCCAGGCATGGTGGTACACTCCTATAATCACAGCAATTCAAGAGGATGAAGTAGGGTAATCAAAAGTTCAAGAATAATCTGGGCTGGGCTATTTAGTGAGATTCTAAAAAGTTAAATGGTTTATTTATCTATCTATCGTTTTTAAAGACAGGCTCTCATTGTATAGTCTTGGTTGGCCTGGAACTTCCTATGTAGACCAGGCTGCCCTTCAACTCACAGAGATCCTCTGCCTCTGCCTCCTGAGTGCTGTGATTAAAAGTGTGTGCCACTATACTTGGTACTACTTAAAATGGTTTTTATTGCATTTAAAAACAGTCTACTTTGTGTGTGCATGTGTGTGGGCATATTTTGCAAATCAGAGGACAACTTGTGGGAATTGTTTCTCTCTGTCTACCATATGGGTTCTGGGGATGGACCTCAGGTTGTCAGGCTTGGTGGCAATGTGTTTATCCCCTGAGCTATTTCAGGTCTTGCCTTTAAATTTTTAAAATTTAGTCACTTAAAGATGAAGAAGATAAAAGGGACTGACATCCAATGCCATAATTACTTCTGTGCCCCAAATTTAGTAGATGATTAATAAACATTTGTATGTAATAGTCATGTGGAAACCAGCCAGTAGAAAAGTTGATATTTAATGCTTATAAAATTCTATTTAAAATATTTTTGTTTATTATTTTTAATTTACGTGTAAGAGTGTTTAGCCTGCATGTATGTAAGGGCACCCTTGTCATGCAGTGCCCCCAGAGACTAGAAGAGCGTTTTGGATCCCCTGGAACTGGAGTTACAAATGGGTGCTAGCCACCATGTGGGTGCTGGGATTCAAACCCAGGTCCTCTGGAAGAGCAGCAAATGTTTATAACTGCTGAGCCATCTCTCCAGCCCTATACAATTCTATTTTTAAAGGGAAAAGGAATTGGAGAAATGGAAAACTGAATCTAGGAGATTTCCATGTCTTTGAACATGTGTAATGTTGCGTACATGACAGATGTTCAATAATGAAGAAGAATCAATGTAAGAAAAGTTAATTTTATTTCCTGCTATTATCCAGCTCATTGTGGAAAACATTCAGTTGATGTTGACTAGAAAATGGTTAGGGTTTATAACTAGAAGAGGAATGTTAGTCCCTTAGGGCTGCCATAATACTAATACCATAGACTATGTGGTTTAAACAATGCAAACTCATTTTCTCACAGTTCTCAAACTGGAAGTCTAACAATTAGGTATAGTATGTGGATTGACTACTTTGATTTTTACAATCAAGGAGGCTACTCTTATTATCCCTGTTTTATAGGTGATAAATTGGTGTAAATAATTTGCCCAGGGTTCCTCAGGGAGTCACCAGGTGAGATTGGAACCTAAGCAGCCTGATTTCAGAGCCTGCACTTAGACACTTTGCTGAGACCAGATGTAAAACTTTACATAGTTATTAATATTTTATGCTTGATTTGGTTACCCTTTCTCAGTTTTAGGGTATTTATATATATTTATTGCTCTTAGGGAAGAAGGCACAGGTCTCCAGAGAGACTTGTGATTATAAAACAGAACTGACCTCTCATCATTTCCATCTCTCCCTAGGTACCCCAGTTCAGAATGATCTACAAGAATTTTTTGCATTAGTTGATTTTGTTAATCCAGGAATATTAGGCTCATTGTCATCTTATAGGAAAATATATGAAGAACCCATCATTATCTCAAGAGAACCTTCTTCTTCTGAGGTACACATTATTTTTTATTTAATTAATTAATTTATTTTCTTGTCTTTTCGGGGCAGGGTCTCCCTGTAGCTCCAGCTGGCCTGGAACTCACTTTGTAGACCTGGGATACCTCGAACTCACAGAGATCCGCCTGCCTCTGCCTTCTTAGTGCTGGGATTACAGACATGCGCCACCACGCCTGGCTCTTATTATATTTATTTTATGTGTATTAGTGTATTGCCTGCATGTATGTAAGTGTACCTGTGATGTGCAATGCCTGTGAAAGCCATAAGAAGGTGTCAGATCCCCTGGAACTGGAGTTACAGATAGTTGTTAGCTGCCATGAATCAAACCTGGGTCTTATGCAAGAGCAGCCAGTGCTCTTAACTGCTGAACCATCTCTTTAGCCCCGCCTTAAAGAGTCATTTAGGAAAAAAGAGCAGTGTGTCTGGAACATTCATGCCTAATTTCGGTATTTATTTAGAGAAAATTTATTATGGGAACTTTATTCCCCACAATTTTTCATTTTCAATTTTTCACTTTCTAATTTTTTATTTTACACAGTAACAAGAGTTAATTAAAATCCATAAAATGATCCAAACAATCATTTTACAAAGCTTATAAATGGCAATAAACATATCAAAATGTTCCAGAGTTGTCATGAAGTAGCTTTAGTTTCTTCTTTTACTATTTTAGTTTGGATTTACATAGTAATGAAAGAGTCGGTGAGAGTGCCATCTTCTGCTGGCTCAAATGCACACTGATACTTGGAAAGCTTACCAATGTATATCGAAAACCTTAAAATTATATAGATCTTATGAACTGATAATGCTACTTTTAGGAATTTACTATAAAGATGTGCAACAGATTTGTTTCAAGATTTTGTAATAAGGATAAATTTCAAAACAAGCTAATATGAAATAAACACTAATGAAGATATGAAAATGGTCTGTACTGTTGTACTGATACTAGTTCCTTTCTTTTTTTTTTGTTTTTTGTTTCTCTGAGACATACCTCAGCTGGCCTTGAATTTATTATGTTGCTAAGGATGGCTTTGAGCTTTTGTTAAGTTCTGAGATAAAATGTTATACCACTTGGATTTTTTTTTAGATGCTATATTTCACTGAATATAAGACACTACCAGTTATAAGCTATACCACTGTTCTTTGTCACTAAAGAAAACACTACCAGTTAAAATTGAAAGAAGACATTGATTGTTAAAAAAACATCCTAGAGGCTGAGGCGTGAGGATTGCTGCAAGTTCCAGGCTAGCCTGGGCTACAACATGAGACACTCTTTAAAAACCAACCAACCAGGGCTGGAGAGGTGGCTCAGCAGTTAAGAGCATTGACTGCTCTTGCAGAGAGCCTGGGTTTGATTCCCAGCACCCACATGGCGGCTACAAACTGTCCTTAACTCCAGTTCCAGGGGAATCCAAAACCCTCTTCTGACCTCTGCGGCATTGCATGACACGGGTGCACACTCATATACATGCAGGCAATGCACTCATAACACGTAAAATAAAAATAAATAAAAAATATAAAAAACAAAAAAACCAACCAACCAACCGACAAACAACCCAAATCCTACTTTGTTTGTTGTTTATTTGGTTTGTTGTGGTTTTTGTGATAGACTCTCCTCGCCCAGTCTTACTTGGAACTTGCTGTATAGTTGAGGATGATCTTGAACTGATCCTCCTGCCTCCAGTTCTCCAGTGCAGTAATTACAGATATGTGCCATCACATCTAGTTTTATTAGGGGCTTAGGAGATCAAACCCAGTACATCTTGCATGTTAGGCAAGCACTCTACAAACTGAGCAGTGCCAAATCCCATTTTAGAGAAGTTAAAGTAGAAAAAAGTTGGTTCTATCTCAGGATTAATAAAACATGGTATTTTGTTGAGACATCTTTATTGAACATTTTACATAAATCAGAAACAATACAAAATAATGACTTATATGAATACTTAATAGCATGGAAAATGTTCATGATATATTATTTAAAATTAATATCACAGTCACTTACTGATCTAGTACGTATTTTTTTCTTTTTTTTTGAGACAGGTCTATAGTCCTGGCTGGTCTGGAACGAACTTTGTAGACCAGGCTGGCCTCAAGATTCTCCTGTCTCTGCCTCCAGAGTGTTGGGACTAAAGGCATGCACCATCACTATGAGGCCAATATGCATATATTTAAATATTTGTTATTTTTATTTTTTATGTGTGTAAGTATATTGCCTACATGTATGTTAAGTGTACCCATGTTGTACAATGCCCTGGAGGTCAGAAGAGGGCATCAGATCTCCTAGAACTGGAGTCACAGACAATTAGTTGCCATGTGGCTGCTGGGAATCAAACTCAGGTCCTCTGCAAGAGCAGCCAGTGTTCTTAACCACTGAGCCATCTCTCCAGAACCCAATATATGTTAAATACTGCAAATGGACCAAGGATAGCTGGAGGAATACAATGATGAGCCAAAAAGGGTTGGTTTCTTCTTTTCATGATGCTTTACAGTTTGGGATCCTGTTTTTGCTATAATTAAAGATACACTGTTAAATATATTTGCATGTTTATAAAGAGAAACAATACTTTAAAATACACATGAAAGTCTTGACAACAGTGATAGTTAAAGAAATTTTTTTTTTAAACATTTGTGTGTGCCTGTGGAGGTCTAAGGATAACCTTTAGGAGTTGGTACTCTACTTCTACTGTGTAAGTTCCTGTGATAAAACTCAGGCCATCAGCCTTTACCTACTGAGCCATCTTACCAGCCCAACATTAGTTGTTTTTGGTAAAATAGCTTTTAGATTTCTTATAGTTCTATGTAGAACTGTAGTTTCCATCTTTTCCTCAGGGAATCTATTACTTTTTTTGTTTGTGTTTTGAGATGGTATCCCTGTAGCCCCAGCTGGCTTGGAACTCACTAAGTAGACCAGGCTGACCTTGATCCCACAGAGATCTGCCTGCCTCTGCCTCCCAAGTGCTGGGATTAAAGGTGTGCACCACCACGCCTGGCTGGAATCTTACTGCTTTTGTAATAAAACTTAAACATTCTTTTAAAATATAAGGAATAATAATAAGGAATAAAAATAATAATGTTTATAGGAATAATTATATACATAAAGGATTTAATTTAAGCTTCCCTATGAAGTTTTGTATGCTAAAAAGACTATAGAGAATTTGAGCATATATTTCATTGATACTGTGTTTTGACTTAAAATATACATTTAATGAGTAATACAGAATGATTTTAAAAGAATAAACACTGTCCTGTGCCAGTATATTCTTATTTTGAAAATATACTATTTCATTTATTCTTTCAGAATTTCATACATGCACATAATATATTTTGATAATATTCATTCCACACTGCCTCCCTCAACTCCACCTGGATTGACACCCCTGTTGCCACCATCCAACTTCTTGTCTTTTTTTTTTTTTTTTGCTGCCCATGTACTACTCATGGGTGTGGGGCCATCCAGTGAAGGATGGTCAAACTACCAGGGACCACACTCTTAAAGAAAACTGACTCTCCTTCCTCAGAAGCCATTAACTATCCATAGCTCTTCAGTCAGGGGTAGGGGCTCATGAGCTCTTCCCCTCTTCCTCACTAGAATGCTGGGTGGCTTAATCTTACAGGTCTTGTGCAGGCAACCTCAAAGATAGTGTTTCACCTCAGTACTCTCTGACCTCTGTAGAGAGTGTGTCTGTAGGGTGCTTAGTCAGAAATGGCTCTCAAGGTTCAGGGAACATTGGGGAAGAGGGGGCAGAAAGATTCAAAGAATTGGCTGGGCGTGGTGGCACATGCCTTTAAACCAAGCACTTGGGAGGCAGAGGCAGGTGGATCTCTGTGAATTCAAGGCAGCTGGGGTTACAGGGAGACCCCACCCCGAAAACAAAGGTTCAAAGAATCAGAGAGTACTTGGGTGAAACAGTATCTTCTGGACATGACAGGACCACCGCACTCATGAACTCAAAATAGCTGTGGTTGCCTGCACAAGACCTGGACAAGATCAAGCCCCCCCAGCATTCTAATGTGAGATTGAGCCTGGTCTGTACACTGAGTTCTGGGTCACCCTTTCTCAAAAAACCCAGGAAGTTTGGAGGGATATGGGGGTGCAGGTGGATGTGGGGGAAGTTAGAGGGAGGAGTGAAGGATGAATATGATCAAAGTACATTGTATAAATGGATAAAATTCTCTAAGAATTAATACATATATTTTAATATTTTTTTAAATTTTTATGCGTATGTGTGTATTGCCTGCATGTAGGTAAGTGCACCTGTGTCATGCAATGCCCTCAGAGGACAGAAGAGGCTGTTGGATCCCCTGGAACTGGAGTTACAGACAGTTGTTAGTTGCCATGTGGGTGCTGGGATTCGAACCCAGGTCTTCTGCAAAAACAGCCAGTGTTCTTAACCACTGAGCCCTCTCTCCAGCTGATAAATACATATATTTTAAAAGATTTTTTTTTTTGCTTTGATTTTCTGCAGTACTAGCAGTTAAACCCAGGGCCCTACACATACTCTACCATTGAGCTAGACCCCCCCTACATTAGTGTTGTAATTAATTTCTTCTGTTGTAAAAGGTCTGGTGTGTCTTGGTATAGTAGACATGCTGTAATCCCAGCCCTTTGGGACTGGAGGCAGAAAGATCGTGAGCTCAAAACCAGCCTGGGCTACATAGTAAGGTCTAGGCTATCCTGACCAGCATAGTGAGACTTTGCCTCAAAAAGAAAAAAAAAAAAAAAGCTTATGGAAATACTGTTTATCACTATAGAATACTTACTTTTCATTTTAACTGGTGGTGCTTTTTGTCTGTAACACTTTTTTTTTTTTTGGTCTTTTTGAGACAGGGCCTCCCTGTAGCCCCAGCTGTCCTGGATTCACTATGGAGACCAGGCTGGCCTCGAACTCACAAGAGATCCCCCTGCCTCTGCTTCCCGAGTGTTGGGATTAAAGGTGTGTGCCACCATGCCCAGCTGTCTGTAACACTTTAAATCTGCTCTTTTTTCTATAGGAAGAAAAAGAACTAGGAGAAAGGAGAGCAGCAGAGCTTACTTGCCTCACTGGACGTTTTATACTTAGAAGAACTCAGGAAGTCATAAATAAATATCTTCCACCTAAAATAGAAAATGTTGTCTTTTGCCGACCAGGAACACTGCAGATCGAGCTTTATCAAAAGCTGTTGAATTCTCAGGCCGTCAGGTTCTGTCTTCAAGGGTTATTGGAAAATAGCACTCATCTAATATGCATAGGAGCTCTTAAAAAACTGTGTAATCACCCCTGCCTTTTGTTCAGCTCTATGAAGGTAAGCAGTGTGAGAAACTGTCAGGCCTGAGATGAGGGTTCTCTGGCTTGTGAGTCCAAGAAGGCAGATGTGCTAATCCTTGAGTATTAGTTGTATCTCTGTTGCTATGATACAACACCATGACCAAAAGTAACTTACAGAAGAAAGTTTATTTGGGCTGTGGTTTCAGATGAGTCCGTCATGGTGGGAGGGATGGCAAGAAGCAGCCCACATGGTGGCAATCTCAGGAAGCTGAGAGCTCACATCTTTAACCACAAACATGAGCAGAGAGAACTAGACATGGGGCAAGGCTATGAACCCTTAAAGCTCACCCCCAGTGACATACTTCCTCCAGCTAGGCCACATCTCCTAAAGATTCCTGACCTCCCAAATAGCACCACCAGCTGGGACCAAGTGTTCAAATACTTGAGCCTATGAGGATTTTTATTGAAACCACCACACCCAAGGATTGCTTTCATGGATTTTTTGGTGTGTGTGTGTGTGTGTGTGTGTGTGTGTGTGTGTGTCTGTGTATAATTGTTTATTTTAAATATATCAAAAACTATTTTAATGAAACCCTCCTTTCCGTGTTCTGAGTATTGAACATTTATCAGTGTCAAAACACATGCAGTGACAGCTTGTGTTTATAATGTGTAACTCATGCCCTTCTGACATTAGTTTTTATGTTCTAGCTCCTTAATTTAGCTCTTAACAGAATTCAGTGAACAAACCCAGAGACAGGATATATTTTTTAATTAGGATCAAATCTATTGTGAGACAATGTTTCTATTTTTATTAATATAGACACATAAAATAACCTGTTTCAGTATGGGGATTCTGTCAGTAACTTATTAATCAAGAACAGTAAATTTATATCAACATGTAAATAGACAAAATTAAATATAAATGTATTAATAAATTTATTATAAGTTATTAATACCTGCCAACTTATTCTTTTGTAGACATTCATGGGGTTTTTAAAGCTCTGCAGCCCCTCCAGTACGGTTCTCCTGTAGAGTCTCTCCAGCCTTCTGCTTGTTTCCAAGAGCATGTCCATATTCCTAGGACTGAATTAGAGTTATAAGAGTTTGAAGCACTGCATTGTGAAGTTTGTGACCCATGCCTGAGACCTTGCCTAATACTTTGCCATGGTCTTCCCAGTTTGTGTTAATATAGTCAGGTTTTTTATACTAAAACTTATGAAATTTACCATTAAAATAATTCATTATTGCAAAAATAATGCATGATTGTTGCATAAAATTGGGAAAGTTCAGAAGGCGTCAATGGGAGCTCACACCTGTAATACCTACATGTGGGAGACTGAGGCAGGAGGATTGCTTTAAGTTCAAGGCTGGCCTGGGCTACAGAGGGAGTGGGATCCTGTCTCAGAACAAAAACAAAGCAAAACAAACATGAAAAATAGAAATCCTAAGCTTTCTAGTCTGAGAAAATCATATTTTGGTATTAATAATATTAAGCACTAACTATATACCAAAATATGCTTTTTATTTTATTTCATTTATTTGTTACACAAATATCTGAAATAAGTCCTATTAATATCATTCCTATTTTTGTTAAGAGAGGAAGTCTTATTATTTTGCCATGCTGGTATCACATTCCTAGGCTCAAGTGAACCTCCTATTTCAGCCTCCTGAATAGCTGAGACTAGATGTTCCTGCTACTGTGCTCAGCTTCCATCTCTATTTTCCAGTGAGGAAATAGGGTCTCAGAGGAGTGCATATATAATCTTATTCTAGAGAAGCTTGATTTTAATGGTGTTATGTTCACTATTTTAAAATGTATTTGTTTGTTAAGAAAATTGAGCATTTTTTACATTAGATCCCTTTTATAAGTGTGATTTTTTTTTTTTTGTTTTTTTGTTTTTTGTTTTTTTGTCTTTTTGAGACAGGGTCTCTCTGTAGCCCCAGCTGTCCTGGAACTCACTGGGTAGACCAGGCTGACCTTGAACTCAGAGATCCACCCACCTCTGCTTCCCGAGTGCTGGGATTAAAGGCATGCGCTACCATGCCCGGCAGATAAGTGTGATTTTTTTTTTTTAATTGTCTTTTGGAGACAAGGTCTCCCTGTAGTCCCAGCTGACCTGAACTCACTATGTAGACCAGGCTGGCCATGAACTCACAAGGATCCACCTGCCTCTGCCTCCCGAGTGCTGGGATTAAAGGTGTGTGCCACCACATCCGGCTGATAAGTGTGATTTTTAATAACTACATTGCTGGGGTTGACTGTTTGGAAAGTTAACAAACAAAAGGTAGTTTGAAGTATGGTAAGACTTTTGAGATTGGAACTGGTATCACTTCCCTAAACTACCTGTAGTTCTTGTTTTTGAGACAGGGTCTCATGCAGCTCAGGCTGGCCTTTCCATTCCATATGTAGCTGAGGGTAACCTTGAACTCTGGTCCCTCTGCCTCTCCTTCTGAAGTGACAGGGTTGTAGGCATGTACCATCATCACTCCTGGCTCTAGTTCTTTAACTATTGACAAGTTTCATACTTAAGTTCAATCTGTGAGCTTTGGTTGTCTATCTGGAAAGCAGAGATAAAATAATTACTTCATGATCACATCGTTGTAACAGTTTGACAAGAAATTATGGGAGGAACCTAGCAGAATGCCTGCTCATAGAAATTGCACAATAACCATAGTCCCAATTTACCCTGGACAACTTTCAGTCTTTTCTTTAAACAGTAAAATCAAATTATGCCCCCAAATAACCTCCACAAACAGAATCCAGGTGCTATTTTGTGTTTGAGGTTATTAATTATATACTTAGAAAATGGAGTGTTCTAACAGAATTCTCCATGTTTATCTTGCAATGGATTATATTTACTTGGTTGATTATAGAAGTCAGCTTTTGACATAGAAGTCAGCTTTGTGTAACTCTGTAGAAGGCAGGATTATAACCATTTATTAAGCAACTTTTAAGGAAACGGATTCTATGTGCAGTGGTAAAAATTAAGTCCAGCAAAAGTAGAAGCCAGAATTTCTTCCTTAAAAGGAAGGAATTATGATGGCCCAGAATATATTATTTAATTCAGAATATTCCTGCATATTATGTGTGTGCGTGCATGTATGTGTATGTGCATGTACCCCAGATCATCGGTTCTTTAGAGCTTAAGGAAGTGCAGTTGTTTATGCAAGAAAGCTGTTCAAGTGTTTAAACTAGACCCTGGGTCTAGACGTCTTTAAATTGTGGGTATTTTAGCAGATCTAATCTGATGCAAATATCAAGCTCCACTTAAGTTTATTCAAGTGACTTTGAGTAAACTTAGATATAGTTTGGTGGTAAGGCAAATTACATTTAGAATATGTGCCCAGGATCCTACAGTACAGGATTCACTGCCTTTAAGGTTTTTCTACTGCTGTTAAAGAAGAAATAGAATATGAATGAACATAAAGGAAGTTTAAAAATGTGTATAATTACCAGCTAGGCCTAGTGGTGCATGCCTTTAATCCCAGCACTTGAGAGGCAGAGGCAGGTAGATCTCTGTTAGATCAAGGCCAGCCTGGTCTCCATGGTGAGTTCCAGGCCAGCTGGACACTGTCTTATCTCCCCCTCCAAAAAATAAAAAACAAAATCAGTCCAAATTGTGTGTAAATAATTTGTATTGGGTCGTCAAATATTTATAAGACTGAGATAACTGGACAGAAAAGAGAAAACATTTCAGGCAATGGTGTAGTTTGAATGAAGTTTCAAAAATAGAGAGAATTCTGGTAAATGAGAGAGTGAAAAGACCTCATAATCCTGACAATTTAACCTAAAAAAGGATCAGTCAAAAATAACTTTGATCTCTCCTTGTGCATTCATGTGTTAATTGGGCAGTTTGGGAAGAATTTCAGAGAATTTCATAATCACTTTGAAATAAAATTATTCTAAAGGCGGTAATAAAACCAGGGAATAGAGGGCAGTGCCTGCCTGGTGTGTTCCAGGCCTGGCTCATACCCAGAACTGGTAATATAAACAAAAAGTGTTATAAGAATACATTTCTCTGTTACCAGTGACATTATTACTTCTTATAGGGAAACTTATAGTTTAAGAAAACTTGTGCTTATTTTTGTTTGTTATCTGGGAGAAGTTGTATGCCACCTGCAAATCAAGAGAAAGTAACAGGGAAGGAAGGAGTGAAGTAGAGTGGGAAGTGTTGATGGGAAGACCCAGGGTTTTGGAGAGGACAGGCTTTGTACTGCCATTTACCCTTTATTTTCTTTTCCTTCCTTTCTCTTTCCCTGTCCTCCATCCCCTGGCTTTACATGGCAAATTATTCAGCAGGTGAAGGTAGGGTGACGCTAGCAGCTGTTAGGAGACTGCAGCAGTACTGCCCAGTAACTCAGCAGGATGCACGCTACTTTTCCAGAAACGATAAAATTGCAACCTATAGAGCTGGGCATGGTGGCGCGTGCCTTTAATCCCAGCACTTGGGAGGTGGAGGCAGGCAGATCTTTGTGAGTTCAAGGCTAGCCTGGTCTACATAGTGAGTTCCAGGCCAGTTAGGGCTTCAGATTCAGGGAGACCCTATTTAAAAAAAAAAAAAAAAAGTAACCTATAAAGATTTACTTAACAGCTTGGACTTTCAGGTAGCTATTAATCCTCACCCCCATTATTTTTGCCCCCCCCATTACAAAAATAAACATGAGCAAGTATTAACAGTCAGAATTTTAAACAGGATAAAGAACGTAACTCAACTTGTGATAAAAATGAAGAAAGGAATCTGTGCGAAGGCTTGCTAAGTGTGTTCCCTGTTGATTACAACCCTCTCCAGTTCAGTGAGAATGAATCGGGAAAACTACAGGTTTTGGTAAAGCTCCTAGCAGTTATCCATGAACTTCGTCCCACTGAAAAGTAAGCCCTTCAGAATTTTTAAGCTCTTCTTTACCTCTCCCTTCCCTCCTTTAAATAAGAACATGCTAAAAAGAACGTTCTTCTTTGGAGGCATAATTAGCAACCAGTATGTTGTAAACTTATAACAATACATAAACTTTTATTTAAGAAAAAACAAATATTATATATATATTTTTAAAGACTGACTGATATCTTTGGGTATACAACATGCAACCTGTTTATCAGTCTCCTTCAGAATCCTCTCTTACTGATTCTTAAATACTGATGTGCCTTGGTATTTTCTCCCTGGCCTTTGTCTTCCAGCAGTGTTCTTGCCCTCCCGCACTTTCAGCTGTCTCCCTGTATCACTGATTCCAGGTTTATCTCTACTCTAGCCCTCTCTTTGGATTTCTGCATCCTTACTTCTGTTTAGTGGTTATTTAAATCTATCCGACTGTGCTATAGTAATCCTACCTTTAGGGTATAGTAATCCATACCTAGATGTCCAAAACCAGCTTCATTGTTTTGCCATGGAAACCTTCATCTTTCCTCATTTTTCTTTAACTTGATAAATGCTATCATAATATAATCAAAAACTGCAAGTTATTCAGGACTTTTCCACTTACCAAATTTCAATAGTTAAGTATTGATTTTATTTGTTTGTTTTAGTTTTTTGAGACAGGGTCTCCCCCTATAGCCCAAGTTGGCCTAGAACTTACTACGTATTCCTGGATGACCTCACACTTGCGATAATCTTCCTACCTCACCCTCCCAAGTGTTGGGATTACAGTGAACCACCACTGATTTTATTTCTTTTCTTTAAAGATTTTTTTTTATTTTTAAAAAGATTTATTTTTATTATTTATGTGTCTGTGTGTCTCTCATGAGTGTGCAGGTTCCTGTGCAGAGCAGAAAAGGGTGTTGAATTATCTGGGGTTGCAGTTATAGGCAGTTGTGAGCTGCCCAACATGGGTGCTGGGAACTGTATTTAACTTTTCTGGAAGAGTAGTAAGCACTTTTAACCACTGAGCTGTTTCTCCAGCTCCCTATGTTTTATTTATTTATCTTCAGCTTTATGTGTATGAATATTTTGCCTGCATGTATGTTTGTGCACCATGTGCATGCCTAATGCCCTTGGAGGCCAAAAGAGGGCATTGGAGCCCCTGGAACTGGATTTATATATAGCTGTGAGCTGCCATGTGGATACTGGGAACCAAACCTGGGTCCTCTACAAGAGCAGCAAGTGTTCCTTAACTGCTGAGCCATCTTTCTAGCCCCTAATTTTATTTCTTAATCTCAGGAATCCATCCTCTTATTTTTGGTACTAAGACTTTTATTTTGATACCTCACAAAATAATAACCACCTACTACAACCCTTAGAGAAAAATCTGAATTATGATGATCTCTTTATTTTTTAATTTTTAATTTTTTTTTTATCATTCTGAGACAGGGTCTCCCTATAGCCCCAGCTAATCTGGAACTCGCTATGTAGACTAGGCTGGACTTGAACTCGCAGAGATCTGCCTGCCTCCCTTCTGAGTGCTGGGAGTAAAGGTGTGCGCCACCATACCCGGCATGATGATCTTTTTAGAAAAATTAAAAAAAATATTTTATGTCTATGAGTGTTTTGCCTGCATGTTTGTAAGTGTGCCCATGTGTGTAGTGCCCACAGAGGCCAGAAAAGGGTGATGGTTCCCCTGGAACTGTAGCTAGGGATGGTTGTTAGCTGCCATGTAGGTGCTGGGAACCAAATCCAGTCTTCTTCAAGAACAGTCAGTGCTCTTAACGCCTGAGTCATCTCTCTAGCCCTGTGATATGTTATGAACCATTTCCCTCTTACTCTCAACCCTATTATTGTATTCAACATTACTCTGAATTATATTTCTAAAATATGAATGTGACCCTGTCACTCATTTTCTTGTGTGTGTCTGTGCATGTATGTGTATGGCTATATGAAGGTGAGAGGTTGACATCAAAAGTTTTCAGTTGTTCTCTATCTACTTTGGTTTTTGAGACAAGGTCTCTCACTGAACTGGATCTTACTGATTGGTTAGACTAGCCAGCTAGCCACAGGAATCTTCCTGTTTCTACCTCCCCAGCACTGGGATTACAGGATGCACTGGGTGCATCCTGTACCCAACTTATATATATATGGGTTCTGGGAGATTGAAATCAGGTCCTCATGCTTGTGTGGCAAGCATTTTTCCTGACTGAGCCATCACCTCAGCCCTTATTCCTTTTCTTTAAAATAAAAAAATCATTCAAGACTCTTACTTGAATGCTGTTGCCTCTTGGAAGCCTCTGCCTTGGATGAATTAGATGCCTTCTTCTGCACTCCCTTTGCCTGCTGTGCCTGGAAGTGTTTGCCATGTTGTATTAGACATTCGTTATGTTAAAGGGTGTGTGATGTATGTAGATTCAGAATGTGATCCAGTTCAAACCTGAGTGTAAAGATTTACTTAGATTTCTATGTATAGCTTCTTAGTTTTTAAACTGGATTTTCCCCACCAGTGTCCCTTTGAGGGTTGTGGTAGGCGACTGCTGGTCAAGGAATAATGAACAGAGAATTTTTCTCTTTTGCAGTGTATGCTAGACAAGCACCCTTCCACTGAAATGTATCTCTAGCTCTGCATCATCTTTTTGTGAATGCTCTATCTTCTTATTTGTGGATAGTTTTGCTTTGTTTTTGTTTTGGTCTTCTGTTTCTTCCATTACTCCCCTTTATTCAGTCTTACCTTTAGATAGTAAATGCTCCTCTCCAAAGGCTCATGTGTGGAAGGTTTGAGCCCCAGCTGGAAGGGCTATTTTGGCAGCTACTGGAAACTTTAGGAGGTAGGGCATAACTGGAGGAAGTAGGTCACTAGGGAAGATCCTTGGGTGTATCTTGTCCTTGGCCTCTTCTTTTTTTCTTTTCTTTTAAAAAAAGATTTATTTTTATTGATGTGTATGTGTGACTGTATACCACATGTGTGCTGGTGCCTGCTGAGGCCAGAAGATGGTGTCAGATCCCTCAGAACTGGCGTTTTAGGCTGTTGTTAGCTGGCAACTGAACTCTAGAAGAGTTCTTTAGACATGAAGCAAGCACTCTTAGCTGCTGAGTTATCTCTCCAGTAAGCACTCTTAGCTGCTGAGTCCTCTCTCCAGTCACCCCTGGCCTTTTCTTATCTCTGCTTCCTGGCTGCCATGAAGTGAACAGCCTTTGCCACATACTCCCACTGCCATGATTAGTGCCTCACTAGGAACAGAGCCAAAGCACTGTGGAAACAAGTCTTTCCTCCTTAAGTGTTTATGTCATATTTTGTCACAGTGGAAATTTTCCTATTTGTTTTGGTTTCTCCTTTTCAAGTTGGAGGCTCACCTTAAGTAGCTGGTGTTTTTAAAAGTAAGGCAAAATCACACTGATAAATACTGTGTATGCAAAGGCAGGGCCTGTACAGATTGGTGGCCTTTGTGCCTTTGTTGGCTAATCAGGCAGCAACTTAGCCTTTTTATTTGGGACTTCTTATCCTTGGATAGTTTCCTTGAAATCAATAGATCGTTTGTAGATGAATCCTTAGTAATATCGACTGTGATGTAAGAGGATTGGGTAGCTGCTGGTATTCTGGGAACTGGCAGGAAAAGTGACTTACCATCTAGTATCCATATTTTTGTGTCACCTTGTCACTGTTTCCTGCCTCTACAATCCCTGGCCTAAATTCCTTTGGTTTACTTTCTCCAGAGAATAAATTTTGTATTTGAGAAAGAAAAGTCAGCTGTTCGCCTGGAAGTGTGTTCTAGGGTTCGGTGCACCAATACACTAAACTCCTTCCTTCTGAGAAGCCTTAGCAAGATTGTGGGGTATGGACAAGTTTTCATTGGCTTCTGTTGGAACGCGACTCTGTGGGCACTCTGCCCCTTCTCTCTGCTCTTCTAAAGCAGGTCACTGCTTTATTTTCCTCTTTATTTTCACAAATAAATGTTTCCTTGTTTATCAAAGATAGAGTTTGGACTTTTGTTCATGTTTTTATTTTGCTTTTTCTGCTCTTTTTAGGGTGATGAGGAACACACAATCTTTATTCTGCTATCTTAAAACTGGAAGTTTAGGCAAGGATTTTAAAAATAAATGTTAAGGAGGGAGCTCCTGTGTTTTAGATGTGTAAGGTTGTTGCTGCGTGTTCTGTAATACCAGTGATACTATTTTCCTTTAACTGAAAAATGCAGTATATTGCCTTAACGTGTAACATGAAGAAATTTTCTTTTTGATTCACAGAGTGGTTTTGGTATCCAACTACAGACGAACCTTGGACATTTTACAGGAAGTATGTAAACGTCGTGGATATGCTTGTGTGAGACTTGATGGACAAACACCAGTTTCTCAAAGGCAGCAGATTGTTGATGGCTTCAATAGTAAATACTCTACTGATTTTATTTTTTTGTTAAGTTCAAAAGCTGGTGGTGTGGGACTTAATCTTATTGGAGGATCTCACTTAATTCTCTATGATATTGACTGGAATCCAGCCACTGATATCCAGGTAGGAATATTTATGCATTAGATATTACTGAATGCTTAGGAATACAAAGACAATGATGATGATGTATAAATAACTTTTGTATATTGAGCTCTTGTTTTGTTTCAGTCACTCTGAGAGTACTTTCCGCCCACCATCTATTTAATCTTCATACCATCCCCCACACATATGAATATAAGTAGCCCTGCTTTCTACAGGTGAGGAAATGGAAGTTTGCTCTTCTTTCCACAGTTTATAAGGACAATATGATAATTCAAACCCAAATCTTATGTCTTTGGGAACCAGTTCACTTACAGCTAGGCTTTCAGGGCACCTGTGACCACAGGGAAGACAGTAGTCTATTATGGATGCTGTGGTCGGTTTCTGCAGGCTACAGTAAGAATACAAAATTAACATAATTAGGAAACTGGAGAAGCCCAAGATTTTCTTCAGTGTACAGTCCATTTTAATGTATGTTGAGATTTCAATGTGTAAATCTGTATCTCAGTTGGTATTTTCATTACAAGATCCTAAGACAACCCTCAGGTTTTGATTTAGTAGGACTTAGGGACTGAAGAAAGCAGTTTTACTCACAGTTGCATTATTTTATGAAGGATACTAAACTCAGCAAAGGAAACACACACACACACACACACACACACACACACACACACACACACACACACAAAATGTAGGGTCCAGGAGGAATCAGGCCCAAGTTCCATTTGTCCTTCCAGCAGAGTTGTGGAGATAACACTTAATTCTCAGCATTGATGAGCTTTGGTGTTCAAAGTCTTTGTTCGGAGTTGTTTCTGTGGATATGAAGCACCTCCATGAACTGATCAGTGAGTTTATTCAATCCTCATCCTCTTCAGCGATCAAACTCATACAACATGAAGCTGGGCATGATATTGAGCATGAGTGAGCTTGAAGAACACAGACACAAAATCAGACTGAGTGTCAATATGAAAGAAAAGGAGTAGAAGAAAATGGAAAAATGTAGATTGCAGGACATTCAGGCTCCCTGCCCAAAAGAGAAAAGAGCAGGCATTTTACTGAGTTCTCGAAGGGGTCTCTGGTTCGTTAGTTACAGAAATAGCATTTAAAAAAGTCTTTATCTCATGGTTAAGGAATTTCCTTTGTAAGCTCCAGATCAGCGGCCAGTTTGTACAATAGGAGCTAATGGTCAAATATCCTGGCATCATCCTGTATCTGGTGGGGTTTCTCTCATGATAAGAAGGTAAAGGGACAAAAGTGGGTCACATTCTGTACATTGTTAATGAGGAAGGAGAGAAACTCAGCGAGTAACAGGCTTTATAGATTAAGAGAATGAAAACCTGGCATCCATCTCTTGTCCCCTTGACTGTCCTTATTACTATATTTAGCTGGTGGCAGCTTTTTTTTTTAAATATCAACCGAGTATGAGCTGATTGCTTACTCCTTAGATACCCTAAGGAATTTTCAAGAGTGAATCATTAGCTTCTTGGACTGAATGAACCCTCCATGCCCAGGCAGTACTTGGTTCTTTGCCTCCTAGCTGTCCAAACTTGCTCTTTTGTGTTTTAGCTCACTGTTGCTGCAGCTATTTTACATATCTCACTGTCCTTCAGCTATTTTACATACCTCAGTGAGTGTTCAACTCTCTCTCTGAACCCAGGGCAAAGATAGAAAGAGGGTATACTCAAGCTCACTTTGCTTTAAAAGAACTAATACATTTATTTCTTATTTGTGTATGTGTATGTGTGCCATGGTGCACATGTGGAGGTCAGAGGACAACTTGATGGGAGCTTGTTCTTTCCTTCCACCATGTGAATTCCAGGAATCAAACTCAGATTGTCATGCTTAGAGGCAGGTGCTGAGCCATCTTGCCAGCCCACCACTTTGGTTTTTGAAGCTGTTACTAAAATCCAGACTTCCTTGGCAAGGGCTGTTGATATCTACTGTACTCAGAATTCTTACTTATTTCCTACAGGCTATGTCTAGAGTGTGGAGGGATGGCCAGAAACATCCTGTACACATTTACAGACTCCTGACTACAGGTAACAACCTTTCATGTGACAAAAATGTGTATCTTTAATTTTTTTTGTTAGTCTATACTTCAATATCTGGAATGCATTCTTTTACTAATTGATATAGTAATAAGTATGTTTTACCCTACAAAAAAGACATAAGGAAATTTAATGAATGTTTTATCTTCAGGTACAATAGAAGAAAAGATCTATCAAAGGCAGATCAGTAAGCAAGGTCTTTCTGGGGCAGTGGTAGACCTAACCAAATCATCTGAACATATCCAGTTTTCAGTAGAAGAACTTAAAAATTTGTTCACGTTACATGAAAATTCACAGTGTGTTACTCATGACCTGCTTGACTGTGTGTGTGCAGGAGAAAAAGATCATACAGGAGAAAAACTTAATTCAGGTGGGTTGTGTTAAGATTCTATTACCATAGTACAGTTAATTTGTCTCTTTGAAAATATTAATAACTTTAAAATATCTATTTGCATGTCAGTTTTCTTTGCTTCTCAGGTTATAGGGAAACTACTCAATATATGTATGAGAAAATATTCAGTAGAGCTTTATTCTGTTTCTTAATGATTCAAGGACTTTCTTTTCCTCTTAGAGATAAGAGTTAGGCAATTTGGGAGTCTTTTAGATAGACTCACTGAAGGGGTACTCACTCTGTGTCCCTGTTCAGCATGGAAGAAGCCAGAGTGGTCTGGGTCCCTATTCCCTATTGGCAATTTGGGTAACCTCTTCAGAGGATGGTGTGATAAGAATAGGAGGTAGGAATTGGCTAGGCAGTTAGGGTAAAAAGACCCCAAAGAAAAGTAGCCACTTTCTTGGCTAAAAGTCAAAATATCCTTAGGACTGTTAACAACATACTCTGTTCCAAAGGCCAAAAATGTCACAAGTATTTGGGAGCTTGTATCTAATCCTTAAAAGATTTTAGGGTTACCTCTTCAGAAGGGGCAATGTTACAGTACCCAAAAGCCCCATAAAAATAAATAAATGAAAGAATAAAAAATAAAAAAGTGATGGGGAGATATGGGAGGTGTTAGAAGGGAGGGAGTGGCATGGATTTGATCAAAACACCTTATATGCATGTTTGAAATTCTTGATAAAGTTTTTGTAAAAGTTAAAAAAATTGTGTAGGATTTATTAATAATGGGGTCAGACTTTCTGAGGTGATTAGAATAAGCAACTGTACTTCTCAGTTTTTAAACTCCTAGTGTTGTTTAAGTAAATCTGAAAATGTTAGCTTAAAACTTCGACCTTATTCAGAAAGGAACTAGATGAGGAGTAAGACTTGAGTAAGCAATAGCCAGTGACTGAAAGCCACTTGATAAATGATCCTCTAGGGGCTGGAGAGATGGCTTAGACATTAAGAGTGCTTGCTATGCAATCATGAGGACTGGAGTTCGAATCCCAGCACTCACATAACAAACTAGGCATCTGGCCTCTGCATGCATGGATGTGCAAAGCATGCATGCATCTCATATGTGCACACATCTGTACACATGCACTCACCCAAGACACACACAAATAAATAATTAATAAAATAAACCTTAAATAAAAATAAATACAAATTAAATTACATTGTAACATGTTTAAGAAGTTAGACTGTATGAAATTGGTTGTATATACATATATATATGTATATACATATGTTCCTTTTTGTGGTATTGTGAATTGAACTCCAGGTCTGGAACATGCTAAGTGAACTCTCTTCTTGAATACAAAGCTACATTCCAGCCCCAGAATACAATATTTTTTTTTCTGTTTTATTCATTAAAGTTTTTATTTTTATTTTTTTTAAATCATACTCTTGCATTGTAGGCCCAGTAAGACCTCAGCTTCACTATGTAGCTTAGGGCTGGTCTGGTTCTCAGCATCTTCCTGTTCTAGTTTTCAAGTGGTGAGATTATAGGCATGTACCACCATGTCTAATATAATTTTATGTTATTTTTCTAATTAAATTTTTTTTTTTTAAATCTTGAGTTGGTCATGGTGGTGCATGCCTTTAGTCTCAGCACTTGGGAGACAGAGGTAGGCAGATCTTTGTGAGTTTGAGGCCAGCCTGGTCTATATAGCGAGTTCCAGGCCTGCTGGGGTTACAGGGAGACCCTGTCTCAAAAAGAAAAAAAATTGTTTCTCTTTTGTATGTATGAGTGCTTTGCTTATGTGTATGTAAGTGCACCATGTGCTGTGCCCATGGAGGTCAAAAGAGGGTGTGAGAGCCTCTGAAATTGGAGTTAACAACCATTTGTGAGCTACCTCTAGGTGCTGGGAACCAAACCTGGGTCCTTTGGAAAAGTAGCATGTGCTTTTAATTGCTGAGCCATCTCCTCACCCCCATCTTTTTCTAATTTTTAGGTTAAATACTTTAATGACTTTCAAACTTCTTTCCTTAAATGAGTATTTAGCATTTTAAATTTTCTTCTATGACAAATCTCATAATTTTGATATGTAGTCTTTTATTGTTCATTTCTAAATATTTTGTATTTTCTATTATTACTTCTTTTATTTTATTCATTATTTATTTAAAAGAACCATCTCTCCAGCTCCTTTTTTAATTTTAATTTTAAAAAATATTTTATTATTTTTATTTATGTGTATGGTATTGCCTACATATATGTAAGTGCACCCGTGTCATGCAGTGTCCTCAGAGGTCAGAAGAAGATGTTGGATACCCAGAACCAGAGCTATGGACAGTTGTTAGCTGACATGTGGGTGCCTGGATTTGACCCCAGAGCTTCTGAAAGAGCAGTCAGTACTCTTAACCTCTGAGCCCTCTCTCAGCTTCTGCTCTCTTTCTTTTTTAGATAGGTCTCACTATGTAGCCTAGCCTGGCTAGGAACTTGCTATGTAGACCAAGCTGGCCTTCAGCACAGAGAGATCTGCACCCCCCCCCCACTTGCTGGTATTAAAGCCATGTGCCACCATACTGGCACATTTTTTTCTTTTTCTTTTTTAAAAAATATTTTATTTATGCTGGGCGTGGTGGTGCACGCCTTTAATCCCAGCACTCGGGAGGCAGAGGCAGGTGGATCTCTGTGAGTTCAAGACCAGCCTGGTCTACATAGTGAGTTCCAGGACAGTTGGGGCTACAGGGAAACCCTGTCTCAAAAAGACCAAAAAAAATTTTTTTTTAAATTTATTTTCTAATTTATGTGAATGTATGTTTTGGCTGCATGTATGTAAGTACACCATGTGTGTGCCTGGTGCCCTTGGAGGCCAGAAGAGGGTGTTAAATCTCCTGGAACTTGAGTTAAGGATGGGATTTTAGCCACCAGGTGGGTTCAGGGAACCAAATCCAGGTCCTCTGGAAGAGCAGGAAGTGCTCTTAGCTACTGATCCATCTCTCTAGCTGTCTATTTCATTTCTTACTGATAGCCGTTGTGATGGGTGAGGTTTTTTGCTTTTCCCTGATACTGTGGATGTTGAATATTTTCTTATATGTTTATTGGTGACATATACTTGGCCTGTTCATTTCATTAGCCCATTTGTTGATTGGATTGTTTAGCTTTTTGACATTTAGTTTTTGAATTCTTACATATTCTAGGTATTTATCCTCTGTAAGATGTACAGCTAGCAAATTTTTTCTCCCATTCTGTAGCCTTTGGGTGGTTGTTTCTCTTTGAGTGGTTGTTTCTTTTAATGTGTAGATTTTAATTTCATTCACTCCCATTTGTCAGTTCTTGATATTATTGCCTTAGCTTTAGAGTCCTTTTTAGAAAATTATTCGCTATTTTATACCTTGGAGTATTTTCCCCATTTTTTTCTTACAGTTTCAGAGTTTCAAGTCTTGTATTAATGTCTTGGATGCATTTGAGTTTTTGGTTTTTGAGACAGAGTCTCCCTATAGCCTCAGCTGGCCTAGAACTCACTGTGTAGACAGGCTGGCCTCACCCACAGAGATCCACCTGCCTCTGCCTCCCAAGTGCTGTGATCAGAGGCATGCACCAATACCCCTGTCATAAATTAAAAAAAAAAAATGGTGACAAAATCTTACTTAAATTGATGTGAGCTTATCAGTGGTCTTTATTTAACCCATTTCCTAAGGGGCACTTTTGTAAGACTTTAAGTATGACTTCCTACAGAGTATTTATGAGTTTGATTTATGGAGTTCTGACCTGGAATATGGATTTGGAAATGTGTCTGGCCTCACAGGATTTATTTATTGGTGCTACAGATAAAACCAATGACCTTGTGCACACAAGACAAGTGCTGTAATATTGAACTCTGTCCTCAGGTCTGTTACACCGGATTTAGATAGGAGATTGTGAACCTGTAAATATTTATTTGGATGATTATTTGTTTACTATATATCTCTCCTACTAGACTATAAAGTTGTATTCAGAGACTGTGTCTGTGTTAGTTCACTGCTTTGTGCCTTTAGTGCTTAAGTGAGCATATAGTAAACAATTTATCAATATTTACAGAAAAGATGAATGCATTGAATGTTTTCAGTTGAACTGTGGTGATCACATGTAATAAATCACAAACTCATTGTCATAAAACAAAAACTTTTGTTTGTGGCAGGATGTTAGCTGGCAAAAGTGTTGTTTTCATTGTTTTACTCATTTCAGATGCATCTTTGGAAAAATCTGTGACCTCTCGACCTTGTCAGCTTGGCCCACATCAGCAGAAGTCTGACTCCCTGAAGCCGCTTTCCATGTCACAGCTGAAGCAGTGGAAGCATTTTTCTGGAGATCATTTATATCTTACAGACCCATTTCTTGAAAGAATAAGAGAAAATGTGTCATTCTTTTTTCAGAATATAACCAATCAAGCTCCTACCATCTAACTAAAGATTACTTCTTTATATTCCTTTGCTCCCCATAAAATGTTACTATAGTAATTAAATATAATTTTGAAAATTGATAAAATTTATATCATAATAGCGTACTTTGTTTCAAAATATACCGATTTAAATACAGTAAAAATTGGGTTGTTTGGTTTCTTGTATATATTTTTCAATGTTGAAAATGAAACAGTAAAGATGTGTTATCATCCTATGTCCTGATAAGCATCAACTTGACATAACCTACAGTCATCTGAGGGAGTCTCAGTTGAAGGATTGCCCAGGTCATATTGGCTTGTGGCCATGTCTGTGAGGGATTGTCTTGACTGATGATTGATTTGGATTGATGCCCATCCCACTGTAGGCAATACCATCCCTAGGCAGGTGGGCTTGGACTGTATAAGAAAGTTAGCTGAGTGTGAGTCAGTGGGCAAGCCAGTAAGCAGCATTCCTCCATGGTCTCTGCTTCAAGTCCTGCTTGAGTTCCTGCCCTGACTTTCCTCAGTGATGGACTGTGACTTTGAAGCATAAACTGAAATAAACCCTTTCCTCTGAGCTGCTTTCAGTCATGCTGTCTTAGCAACAGAAACCAAGCTAGAATATTCCGCAATTGTTTATTAATAATTCCATGATTTATATACCTTTGTCCAATATCAATTGAGGAATTTTCACAAGGAATATAAAAAAGTAAAACTAGTTTCTATCTTTGAGAAATTTAATCTGATGTGGAATACTAGACACAACTGAAAAACTTGAGCAATTTAAACTAGCTCAAGAGAGAGACTTGGGAGGCTGCGATTGCGAATGCTGAGCATGCGAAGTTCAATAGTTGCTGCAGGGCAGTTTGAGTGAGAGCAGTTAGGAGGCCAGGGCATAAGATGAGGGACTTTGGGAAGCTTCCAAGAAGTACTCTTTTTTAAAAATATTTTATTATTTTTATTTTATGTGTATGAGTGTATTGCCTGCACGTGAGGGCACCCATGTCGTACAATGCCAGCGGAGGTCAGAGAGGGCTTCTGATTCCCCTGGAACTGGAGTTAAGGATGGTTTGTAGCTACCATGTGGGTGCTGGGAATCGAACCTGGATCCTCTGCAAGAGCAGTCAGTGCTCATAACCGCTGAGTCATCTCTCCAGCACCCAAGAAGTATTCTAGTCTGGGCCCCAGACATGGGGTCTGATGTGTAGACAATGAAGCCATTGCCCACCAAATATCATATACCAAATTATTGGTTCAACTATCATCATATGAGGGTTGTCTGGAATGTACAGAGGAAGTTTTAGAGGATTGGAGTCTTTAAAGAGAAAGGAATTAATCATTTTATTTTGAACTGGGCCTTCTGTAATAAGCTTTGGCCTCCATTTAGGAAGATTCATTTATTTTTATGGATTTTTGAGATCTTTCTAGCTGAATCAACATGTATTAATGTTGAATTTTTGTCTAGTAGGAAAAAATCAGTTTTTTAAAGAAAGGGGTTAAATTTTCTCTTATGTATTAAAATATTTTTCTTGATTCTTTGAGAATTTCATACAATGTATTTTGCTCACATTCAGACTCCCAGGCTCTACCCCCACCTTACAACCCCCTGACTTCATGTCCTCTTATTTTTTTTAAGGCCTATGGACTCTAATTCATGTGTTCCCCAAATGCTCTTGGGTGTGGGTCTATCTTCAGGAACCTAGTCAGCCTACTCATTGTCACACCCTTAAAGAAAACTGATTGTCCCTCCCCCAGTAGCTATCAATTGCCAATAGTTTCTCAGTTGGGGTTGGGGCTTATTTCCCACCTCGCTCGCTCCATGTTGCCACAAGCACTGTAAGTTCATATGGGCAACTGCTTTGTTGTGTTCCAGAAACATGGTTTCCTTGTGTTCATTCACCATCTCTGGCTCTTACAATCTTCCCACCCCCTCTTCCATAGTGATCCCTGAGTTTGGGGAGAAAAGGGTGTGATAGGTGTTGCATTTAGGCCTGACCACTCTGCAGTCTCTTACCCTCTGCACATTGACCAGTTGTGGTTCTCCCCTATGGCCTGTGACCTATCTAGCCACAGGTTCTTGGCCTTATACCAGTGCCAGGTATGGGCTCCTGTGAAGCAGGCCTTAAATTCAATCAGCAAGTGGTTTTGGCTACTCTCAACATTCATGTCACTGTTACCCCAGTGGATATCTTGGCAGACTAGTTGTTACTGTAGCTGGTAGAGTTCACAGCTGGCGACTTTGATGATTTTGTTCCTCTGCATGCATGTCACTTTCCAGCACTATGAAAGCTAGCCAATAGAGATGAAGCTTTGAAGTCAGTACCAGCTTGATTGTTCCATGTTTGCTCTACAACTCACGTATGTAGTGTCCCCAGTGATAGGGTCTACTGTCAAGTTCTGGCAGGTAGCAATAGTCATTATTCTTTGAGGGTCTGTGGCACACTGCCCCCCCTCCCCAGTCAACAACTCCAAAAGAGGGAGTCCATTCCTGGCATTGAATTATATTTGCTAGCCCATGGTATCTGGTATGGGCCTTGTCCCCCTGCCTCCCATTATAGGGTAACTCCATTTATACTGTTCTTAGATCATTTATGTATACACTTTAGGAAGCTTCTGTGGTAGAACCTTTCCATGACTTTCTGAAGGCATTTAGTGTTGGTCATCCCTCCCCATACTCCCTCCTCTGCCCTACCCCCCTAGTCCTCACCCTTTTAACCCTTCCTATTCCATTATTCCCCTTTTTTTTCCTTTCTATTGAGGCATTCTATTTCTCCTCCATGGAACCTCCTCTCCCCCGTGGCCCCTTACTAGTTTCCTGACTTCTGTGGATTTTCCAATTGAAGCACACATATCTAAAGATTCAGAACTAGCATCCACCTGTAAGAGAGAACATGTGACATTAGTCTTTCTGGGTCTGGATTACCTCACTCAAGATGATTATTTCTAGTTCCATCCATTTTAAGAAAATATATCATTTTTAATATTTTATGTGTATGACTGTATTGACTGCATGTATGTGAGTGCACCCATGTTGTGCAATGACATGGAGGTCAGAAGAGAGCGGATTCCCCTGGAACTGGAGTTAAGGATGGTTTGTAGCCACCATGTGGGTGCTGGGAATTGAACCCGGGACCTCTGCAGGAGCAGTCAGTGCTCTTAACTGCTGAGCCATCTCTCCAGCCCCATAGTTCCATCCATTTTTTAAAATTTGTAATTTTGTTTTTCTCAACAACTGAATAATATTCTGTTGTGTAAATGGTACCACGATTCATTATCAGTTCATCAGTTGATGGCCATCTAGGTTGTTTCCATTTCTTGGCTGTTGTGAATAGAGTAGCAATGAACATTGATGAGCAGATGTCTTTGTAGTGGGATAGAGAGTCCTTTGGGTATATATGTCCAGGAGTGGTATAGCTGGATCATGTGGTAGATCTGTTTTCAGCCTTTTGCGGAACATCCACATTGATTTCCATCATTTTGCACTCCCACCAGGAGTGAGTAAGTGATCCTGTATTTCCACATCCTTGCCAGTATTTCTTGTTAATTTGCTGTTTGAATCTTAGCTATTCCAACTTGGGTAAGATGAAATCTCAAAGTAGTTTTAATTTGCATTTCTCTGGTGGCTAAAGGTGTTGAACATTAAAAAAAAATACTCTTTGTCATTTACATTTCATCTTTTGAGAACTCTCTGTTTAGTTCCTTGCCACAATTTTTAATTGGGTTGCGTTTTTTATATTTATGTTTTGGGTTCTTTGTATATTCTAGATACTAACCTTCTGTCTAAGGTATAGCTGGTAAAGATTTTTTCTCATCTTGTAAGGTGCCCCTTTGCTTGAATGATGGTGTCCTTTGATGTACAGAAGCTTTTAAGTTTCATGAGGTCTCATTTGTCAGTTGTTGATCTTAATGCCTGTGCTATTGGGGTCCTGCTCAGAAAGTCTTTTCGTGTGCCTACAAGTTCTAGTGTATTCCCTATTTTCTTCTCTATCAGATTCAGAGTGTCGATCTTATGTTGAGGTACTTGATGCATTTAGAGTTGAGTTTTGTGAAGGGTGAGAGAGGACTTTAGTTTGACTCTTCTACATGTAGCTATCCAGTTTGACCAGCACCATTTGTTGAAGATGCTGTCTTTTCTCCGCTCTGTATTTTTGTTGTTCCCTTACACTGTGTCAAGAGTTTTATCTATGAAAAAAGTAGCAAATAGTTATTTGTAACTTCTTTGAAGCAGCATCCAGCCTTAAAATAGTTCATCTGGCTAAAGGTTAGAATATAGCTGTTTGGGCTGCTGTTAGTTTATCTTAAAATTACTAGATGGTAATAATAGTAACTTGTATTTTCTTTTGGTATACTGATAATCATTTAAAAGTAAAGCTTGGTCACTTAAAAATTTGTTTATTATATATATGCTATTATAGCAGTCTGAGCTAAGACAAACATTTAAAAACTAGGCCATGCCAAAAAGAATTGCCACTTTTCTGGCTGGGTGTGGTGGCGCGTGCCTTTAGTCCCAGCACTTGGGAGGCTGAGGCAGGGAGAGCTCTGTGAGTTCAAGGCCAGCCTGGTCTCCATAGCAAATCCAGGCCATATGGGGCTACAGGGAGACCCTGTCTCAAAAAGACCCCCCCCCCAAATTACCACTTTCCTAATGTTTCAAAATTTTATCTATTTGTTCTTATCCCCCCGCAACTGCTCCCTCTCCAGCTGGTTGCCTTTTGTCCTTCAGTTAGCCCCCCTGTTTTCCTATTACTGTATCACATTGTCCTCCATATTTCCCACCTCCCTTAAGATCTCTTCCTCCTCTCTTGTGATCCTCTTTATACCTTGGTGATCTACAAACACATACATACAAACACACATGCACGCACACTCACACACATAAAAATTAAAATCTAGGCTTCATATATGAAGGAAAACACAGTATTAGTCTTACTGAGTTTGGCTTATTTTCCTTAACATAATGATCTCCAGTTCTGTCATTTCATAGAAATGTCGTGTTTTTTTTCCAATGGCTGCATAAAATTGTAGTGTATGTGCCACGTTTTCTTCATTCATTCATCTATGTATGGACTTCTAGGTTGGTTCCATTTTCTAACTATTGTGATAAGTC